GTGCATTTAGATCATCCTCCTCTCCTAAAGGGCCTGGTCTAGGGGATGCTGGGAGCTGTAGTCTGGAAGAGAGTATGGATTTGCTATTGTATGTTTTGTTTGCTGGGGGGAGTCATTTTTGCACATGCACTGTAGCATCTTTTTGTGTGTGTTTTTGGCCTTTTAAAGTCTCTTTCACTGTGTTTTTCAGTGTTTTTATGAGTGATGATCACTCATTGGCCTGATAGGTGTATTGTGTCCAAATTTGGTGTCAATTTGCTCAGTGGTTTTTGAGTTATGTTAATCCCACAAACGAACATTAAATTTGTATTTATATAGATTCTAGAGTTGAACAGAAAGGGGAAGTCTTTGCAGTGCTTGGGCTCGAGATGTTTCAAACCAGGTTGTATTTAGATATGCTTTGTCCATTTACACTGGTGATGAAATATATATTGAAGTTTTAAGTTTGCACTGATACATGGATGCTATTTGTATGAAGCAGATTGCAGTCAAGATCTCGGCAGAGATTGTGATTCTGTGAATGAGAACTTTTTCACGGTTCCTCCCAGCTTTATACTACACTCTGTGTAAACCCAAACTCTAGCTGTTTTTCTTTCTAAGGATTTCAAAATCAGGGATGTTAGTCTTGGCCAGAATTAAATAAAACAAATTCTTCAAGATGCTTACAGATTTTCTCTAAAATGTGACTTGACAAACAAAAAGCTAAAGAGTTTGAGGCAATGATGAAAGGTACATTCTTCTTCAACTGCTCCAGCTTTTGTACCTGAAGATATCTCATATTTAAGCAGGCAGCAACTTACCTGCGTGGAAAAAAGAGTCGTATGGCCTTGTTCAAAGATACAGAAGCAATGACAGTCTGGAGAGAATGGGAAGAATGCTTTGAGAAAGCTTTCTGTTTCCTAATTATTAATAAAATGAATGAATGAAATACTAGAAATACAAATAACTGAATCAATAGGTTGCTAATGGTAGGAAATGATCAACAAATGGCTCTATTTCTGTTTAGCACTTGTTATTATGTACCATATTACAGGAGAGCACATTTTTGAAACCCAGTGTAGCTCAACCATCTGTTTAAAAATGAGGCATTAAATAATCAAATAATGGCACAAGGGTGGACTGCAAACATTGAGAAATCAATAGGCTTGGGGCATGTTAAAGTCTTTGAAATGTTTATGTAGTGGAGCTTTACAAATGGTCCTGTATCTACAGTATACTGTAAATCCTGTATGCTTGTTTTTATTAGATTAACACAATTTGTCTTACATTACCTATGTGAATTGAAATATCAAAATTGTTGTTGTTGTTTCTTTTTACCATACTATCAACTTCAGTTTATGAATGAGAGATCTACAGCCACGGCTAATCAAAAGCCTTGCTTTGTAGCCCAGGGCTTTTGTTTCCTTTATCGACTTATTTGTTATGTAGTCTTGTTTTCTTATTGTCTTCCATCTTTCTCAGCATTATAATCTTTTCCAATAAGTCATGTTATCTTAATAGCCTATGTGATGTATTGGTCTGAGTGTTGGACTCGGACTCTAAGAGTTGTTTTTGTCTTATGCATTCAAGTTATTTCTGAATACTATCATGGGATTTTCTTGGCAATATTTGTTCAGAGTGTGGTTGTATTTGCCTTCATCTGAGGCCGAGAGAACGTGACTTGCCCAAGTGGGTTTTCATCAAGGAGTAGAGATTTGCATTCTGGTCTAATCAGTTCATCATTCAAGTCACTATATCACACTAGTTCCCAAGGGCTCTAATCCTCACTAGGAAACCCACTGAGTTTCCTTGGTCAAATCACATACTCTACAGCCTCAGGGACAGTAGCAGCAGATCCCCAATTTGATCTTACAAGATTGCAGCACAACATTTCACATAATTTGATCCTGTCAGAGTTCGTCATTGCCCTGCTTTCACATATTAACATAGAAGTGGTAAATATTATGGTCATGATGGTTCCAACTTTTACTCAAAAGATAGATCTTTCAATTCGAGAATGTTCTCTAGTTCTCTCATGGATGCTTTTCTAAGTGCTAGAATTCCTTTGATATAATATCCACTGTGATTTATGACAAAAGCCGAGATATAGAAAATATTTAACTATTTCATGTGTAGATGGGTGGCCTATTAGTCATTAATCCCCCCCCCCAAAAAAAACCCCTCATAAAGCCATTGTCATACAATTCTGTAAATTGTGTACAAGTCATCTTCTACGTTAAATAGCAATAAAAAAGCAACTTCCCTTGAGATCCAGGCTGTTTCTGACCTGGGTAAGGCTACTTCTTCTCTCTCAGCCTTTGTAGAGGCAAAGGCAAACCATTAAGTCTTGCCAAGAAAATTCTGAAGTAGTTACACCTTATAGTCACCATAACTCAGAAATTACATGAAGGCATACAACAAGAGAAGTCCTTTTAAAGTGAAGACAGCAGATATTGGTCTTAGGCTATTTTATAGATGAAATGTGTACTCCGCAAGTTGCTTGCTTGTTTTAGATGCTAATTATTGCTAATGCAGAAGTGTGGTTTTGGAACATTCTAAGTATTTGCAGAAGATGAGGTCTGCTAATCTGATGAAGTTTTTGCGCTGTTCACCTATGCCGGTAATGCAGTATTGTTCCCAAAGGCTGTTTGACATTTCATAATGGCTCTAATGAGGCCACATGAGTGGCATTTATCTTGCAGGAGCATCTATATCAGGATAACTCATAATTTGCTTTTAACTGCTTTGTTTTTGCTGCAACCTTTGTGGGGGGGGGGGGATTGAGAAGCTCAGACTGTTCAAAAGACATTTGTATGTCAATTTGTTTGCAGAATAACAAGACATGCTAGAAACACATCTTCCAATTATTTAAGCATTCATGGATCCCAGTGTTAGGAGATATAGGTGCGGGGGGGGGGGGGGGTTCTATTCATACTCAGGAGATGGAAAGAAATAATCTTTTTTTTCCCTCTTGAACAATTTTTTTAAAAAAAACTGCCACACAGTTGACTGACTTCATGAGATTCCTCTTTTCTTGCATAAGAGAACAAAACGACACTCATTTTTTGTTTTCTTAACCTAGAAGTCACTTCCTATTAAAAATCTCTCTAGATAGCCCAAAAAGTGGCGATGATGCTCTGCATGCATCTTACAGGTTATATTGGAACAAGTGTGCTTCTGTTTGCTCCCTTAGCCATTCTAAGAAGGGCGTGTGTTTTTAAAGGTTTAAGGGTTTTGTTGTTTTGTTGGGGTTTTTTTTGTATTTTCCAGTAAATGGTAAATATTCCCATGAGGGATCAGTTTGTAGACAGAAATAATTGTGACATTAGCAGCTGTGACAACAGGACTCATTCTTTCATTGGTTTTATAATCGCTATATCTGTATAGCCATGTAGGCTACTACTCAAAGCATCTTTCCTTTCATTTGTTTTTAAATGACTGCTAAATGTTTATTTATTTCATTTGTGTGCTCGATTTCTCCAATGTGATTCCACTCAAAACCTAACTATAAAAACTTAAAAACAGTTAAAATCACTGCTATTATTGTGAGTGCTATATTTTTGGTTGCCCTTTTTGTTTTGTATTTTATTTATTTATTGGCTTTTCACCCTGCCTTTTTCCAGGGATGTGATTATTATTACTATAGTGTGATTATTATTGGAATGATTCATTAAATAGCAAAGAAGAGGGAATGAAAGCTTAAGATCTAGATAGCAGTTCAAATTCAAACAGTCCTTGTTTGATGGCACCATTCAACAGATATGGTCTACATGAATTACTAAGTTGGTTATGACCTCATTGGAAGGGACTGTGGGGTGTGTTTCAATAAGAGAGATCTGAAATTTTACTGAAATTCCTCCTTTCTTTACTATGCTACTTTGCTGCTGAGTACGCATGCCCAGTGTGGAACACATCTCACCACACTAAAACAGTGGATGTGGCTCTTAATGAGACATGCCGCATTATCACGGGGTGTCTGCGCCCTACACCACTGGAGAAATTACACTGTTTAGCCGGTATTGCACCACCTGACATCCGCCGGGAAGTAGCAGCCAATAGTGAAAGGACCAAGGCAGAGACATCTCCAGCTCATCCCTTGTTTGGGTATCAGCCAGCACATCAACGACTTAAATCTAGAAATAGTTTTCTAAGATCTACAGAGACACTCGCTGGAACACCTCAGCAAGCGAGAGTCCAAAAGTGGCAGGCTCAAACCCAGAACCTCAACCAATGGCTGATACCAAATGAGAGACTCCCCCCGGGCACACAGAGGGCTGGGCGACTTGGAAGGCGCTGAACAGACTGCACTCTGGCACCACGAGATGCAGAGCCAACCTCAAGAAATGGAGCTGTAGTTTGCTAAGACACCAGCACTCTTTGCAAAGAAGACAAAAGACCTTGTAAAACTACCCCACCCATGATTCCATAGTATTCTTCCATGGCGATTAAAGTGGGGTCAAACTGCATTAATCCTTTGGGCCAATCCTACTTTATAAAAGTTTTATGATACATACAGTGGGGGAGACTCCCTGTGTATATTACTCTGGAGTCCTTGGAGATTAGCTGGGTGAAAATTTGTTAGATAACTAAATAAATCAGATTAATGATTCTCAGATGAGCATTTTTCTTAGACATGTACATAAATTGGGATATCCTAAATTTGCAGTATACAAAATGTCCAGTGATAAGCTACATGCAAATTCTAAGGGAGGGCAAAACAGACAGAGCCCTCTGGAACAGAGAGCATTTGTTTGAGATGTACATACATGTATCTGTTTTGTTTAGGATTCCAAAGCCAGGTGTCAAGAGTATGTAATGCCAACAAGCAACTGTTCTTGTTTCTGGAACTGATAGATTTGCCCAATCATATCTGGCATTTGTCTGGGGTATCTTATTTTCAAGATCAAAAAAATCAGAGTGAAACAGATCTCAGAAATTAGGATTTTAAAAGAAACCGTATTTTACTGTTTTACCTTGCATTTACTGGTGTCTTATTTCTGTTTTGTTCTGCCTTTGCCCAGATCCCGTGGCTTACCTAAGCTGAAAGAATCCCGTTCTCATGAATCCTTGCTGAGTCCAGGCAGTGCGGTAGAGACCCTCGATCTGGCGACAGAAGATAGAGTTCATGTCAAGTCACTTCACGGAAGCATACTTGGACAAGATTTTTGCTTTGAGGTAAAAACCAGCCAAAAAAAATAACCCCAGATAGTTATCCTTTTTCTTCAAAAAAGAAATAAATAAATCAGGTTGTGTGCAAAATACATACATTGCTTAACTTCGTTCCTTATCTTACTCCTTGAGGATTTCATAATTGAGTGAGCAAATTAGTTGCTTTGTATTTACCATGGGAAGGGTGTGGACTAACTGGCAATCGGATGACTCTGAAGTCCTTGGGGCTACCAACATTGAGTAGGAAAAAATATTTCCTGTTATTGTGCCATGTCAGTGAGCAGTATAATGAATGTTTGAAAACATGATCTAGAGAAGATGCAGTCTCCCTGTGAAGATTGCTAATCTCCCTCACTGCATACATTCTGGATCATTCAGTTTAATTCACATCAGCCCTTGCTGAAATTGGGGTGAAGGATTATGGGAGCTGTAGTGAAGAAAGATCTAGAACACTGCTTCTTAAACTGTGGGTCCTGACCCCAGGTCCCCTTAGCTCAATGTTGGGCTCACAAAGAATTTGGCAACAGTGAAAAGTTTCTGGGCATCCCCTAGTGGTGGTTTTACACATTTACACAAGTCTGTTTACAGCAGACTCTGCAGAACACCGGGATTGTGGCGCAGCTGGCTGAGTGTCAGCTGCATTAAGATCACTCTGACCAAAAGGTCATGAGTTCAAAGCCAGCCCGAGTTGGAGTGGGCTTCCAACCAATTGTGTAGCCTGTTGTCGACCTTTGCAAGCCGAAAGACAGTTGCATCTGTCAAGTAGGAAAATTAGGTACCACCTTGTGTGGGGAGGCTAAATTAACTAATTTATGAGGCCATAAAAAAAAAAGACTCCAGCAAAGCACTCCAGCAAAAGCATGCGGGGAATGCGGAAGTACTTCATCAGTGTTGCAGATGGACGATGAAAGCAACAGCTCCCCTGGTGGCCAGAAAAAGTTAAATAGCCTCTGTGTATGTCTGTATACATTGTATGTCAAATTGGCATTGAATGTTTGCCATATATATGTACATTGTAATCCACCCTGAGTCCCCTGCGGTGTGAGAAGGGCGGAATATAAACACTGTAAATAAATAAATAATAAATAAATAATAATACTTCAGCAGTACTTCACAAAAAGTAAAATCAGCCTGTTTAGGAAGTCATCCAAATACTGCTTTATTATAAGTAAATGTTTGTTTTATTAAATCTTTTTATATATCCATGTACATGGAATCATGTGTGCTATCACAAATATTTCTACATTGTGATGTTAGAAAAACTTTCTCCTCCTGGAACCTGTTAAGAACCACGGGTGCTCACTTCCTTATTCTCCCCTCCCCAAACTGTCCTCTGTTTTCACTCAGTCAAAGCCAACCCTGCCCAACTACCCTACACCTCCCCGATTCTCTTCTTCTTTTTAAATATATGTAAGCAAAACTCTAATAAAAATATATTTTAAAAAAGAATGTCAATGGCTTTCTTAGAAACGTTAGTGGTGTCGTTTTCAGAAATCCTCTAGATCACTGTTTCTTAAACAGTGCCACCCATTTCCACAACAACATGTAGAATTTACAGTAGACTCTGCAGAAGATGCTTCAGCAGTCCTTCATAAAAAAACAAAATCAGCCTGTTTAGCAAGCCTTGCAAATGTTGATTTGTTATCAGTAAATGTATGGTTACTTATTTTATATACTCACGTAATTGAGATTGTATACAGAGTTATTGAACAGAAGGATCATGAAAAAAATTCATCAGGTGGAAAAGGGTCACAAGTCGAAAAGGTTTAATAAGCCCTGATCTAAAAGGATGTACCCACACACACACTCACACATGCCCAGGCTTGGGGTTTATTGTGAGCATGTGTGACTCTGGCATGTACTTAGAACATCTTGCTGTTGAAATAGCATCTGGCGTAACAGCACATGAGGCACTGAAGCAGAATGCCACTTTGGTGAAATTGGTAAAGGTTAGCAAGATGGTGGAGGAAAGTGGAACTGGAGAGAAGAGATGAATCAGCAGCATGGGCCACTTTAAATAAGTGTATTGTAGCTAATTTCCTTGAATGTAAGGCAGTGGGGGTGAACCTGTGGCACGTGTGCCAGAAGGGGCATGCATTGTCCTCTCTCCTGGCATGCGTGCCATCGCTCACCCCCTGCTTGCCATCCCACCCCAAAGCATCCCAAGCTCCGAGGATTACCTGGGAAGGAATCCCACTGGAGCATTGCAACGCACCCAAATACCTGGGAGTCACTCTGGACCATGCTCTGACCTACAAGAAGCACTGCCTGAACATCAAGCAAAAAGTGGGTGCTAGAAACAATATCATACGAAAGCTGACTGGCACAACCTGGGGATCACAACCAGATACAGTGAAGACATCTGCCCTTGCGCTATACTACTCTGCTGCTGAGTACGCATGCCCAGTGTGGAACACATCTCACCACACTAAAACAGTGGATGTGGCTCTTAATGAGACATGCCGCATTATCACAGGGTGTCTGCGCCCTACACCACTGGAGAAATTACACTGCTGCTGGTATTGCACCACCTGACATCCACCGGAAAGTAGCAGCCAATAGTGAAAGGACCAAGGCAGTGACATCTCCAGCTCATCCCCTGTTTGGGTATCAGCCAGCACGTCAACCACTTAAATCTAGAAATAGTTTTCTAAGATCTACAGAGACACTCGCTGAACACCTCAGCAAGCGAGAGTCCAAAAGTGGCAGGCTCAAACCCAGAACCTCAACCATTGCTGATACCAAATGAGAGACTCCCCCCTGGGCACACAGAAAACTGGGCGACTTGGAAGGCACTGAACAGACTGCGTTCTGGCACCACGAGATGCAGAGCCAACCTCAAGAAATGGGGCCACAAAGTGCAATCCATGACATGCGAGTGTGGAGAAGAGCAAACCACTGACCACCTGCTGCAATGCAACCTGAGCCCTGCCATATGCACAATGGAGGACCTTCTTGCAGCAACACCAGAAGCACTCCAAGTGGCCAGATACTGGTCAAAGGACATTTAATCAACTACCAAACTTGCAAATTTTGTGTTTTGTCTGTTTGTTTGTTTGTCTTGTTCTATTAGAAATGTAATACAATTGACTGGTTGCCCTGACACGACAAAAAAAAAATCCCACCCCTGCTCGGTTGTCTGCCCTCCCCTGCTTGTTTGCTCACTCGGCCACTTGCTCCCACCTGCTTACTCACTCCCCCCCCCCCCCCCCCCCCAGTTGCGGCACTTTGTCTCTTGAAGGTTCACCGTCATTGATCTAGGATATGCTTGCTAAAAACCAAATATAGAGCCCTGACCCACAGTTGACATTCATCATCTGGAAGTTCTTGGGTATAAATATTATCCCCAAAATCTGTTTTATATTTCCACCCAGAAACTAAAGATTTGTTCTAGCATGCCTTGGAGGTTGCTCTGGCAACTTTTGTTTCTTGTGAGGAAACACTAAAGAAATATTACAACATACTTTTTATATTGGTATTCCTTTATGGGGAAACATGTCCTGGTTTGCTTTTGTGATGCAACATAATTAGCTCAATGACAAACTATGTCTATTTCCCTTGTTATATAAAGTGGCTCATGGAGGAAGAAAAGAATAATACAAGCAAACACTTACATGGCAATTTGGTCCTTTAGGTTTGGCGTTTAGCATTTCAGAACTATAACGATCTTGTGTTGTACGATAAGCAAACAACAAGAACTAATTTCTAATCTTTAGGAAACTTTAAAGAAGCCAAGCAAAGAAGGGAGATAGCCTTAATCTACACACAGTAGTGCTTCCCGAATAGCATTCACCAAATGTTATTTGTCTAAATTACATGATTTCTCAGTGACATGTTTACTTGAACAGTCAGTCCAGCCTTGAATTCTCAACGTTTCTGGCATTCTCTTTTGTTTTCCATGCTACTTTCTAATTTCTTTTAATATTACACATTGTGTATTTAAAAATACGCATATTAATCAAATTTACCTATCAGAAAAGACATATAATTATAGCTATTGATTTTTTTTGTCGTGTCAGGAGTGACTTGAGAAACTGCAAGTTTCTCCCCGGTGGCGCAGTGGGTTAAAGCCCTGTGCCGGCAGGACTGAAGACCGACAGATCGCAGGTTCGAATCCGGGGAGAGGAGGATGAGCTCCCTCTATCAGCTCCAGCTCCTCATGCGGGGACATGAGAGAAGCCTCCCACAAGGATGATAAAAACATCAAATCATCCGGGCGTCCCCTGGGCAACGTCCTTGCAGACAGCCAATTCTCTCACACCAGAAACGACTTGCATAGCTATTGATAAAATCTGATTAATTTTACAGCAGCGGCAGCAAAGGTGGCTTTGAAGAATTAATGTCAAAGTAATGAAAATCAAATATATACAAGCAATAAACAGCATCCATTTTTTCAGATTTCCACATTCCTATTTACTATGGTATAGAACAGATGTATTTGATTATTTTTGTCTTTGAGGTCAAATGCCATATCTAAGAAAGCCATTCTCTGAGTGCTGGAGAATCACAGAATCACATCAATTGGTGGAAATTAAGTTTTTTAGCTTTTATTTATTTGTCGTGTCAGGACAACCAGTCAAATTATATTACATTTCTAACAGAACAAAACAAACAAACAGACAAAATACAAAATTTGTGAGTTTGGTAGTTGATTAAATGTCCTTGGACCAGAATCTGGCCACTTGGAGTGCTTTTGGTGTTGCTGCAAGAAGGTCCTCCATTGTGCATGTGGCAGGGCACAGGTTGCATTGCAGCAGGTGGTCAGTGGTTTGCTCCTCTCCACACTCACATGTCGAGGATTCCACTTTGTAGCCCCATTTCTGAAGGTTGGCTCTGCATCTCGTGGTGCCAGAGAGCAGTCTGTTCAGCGCCTTCCAAGTCGCCCAGTCCTCTGTGTGCCCAGGGGGGAGTCTCTCATATAGTATCAGCCATTGGTTGAGGTTATGGGCCTGCCACTTTTGGACTCTCGCTTGCTGAGGTGTTCCAGCGAGTGTCTCTATAGATCTTAGAAAACTATTTCTAGATTTAAGTCATTGACGAAGTTTTTTTAGCTGCATTTAATAGATTCTAAATGGAATTCCTGATGTGTCAAGATTTTTCAAATAATTTAAGAAAATGTTCTGTGGGTTAGGATTTTGCTACTTTGAAGTATTTTTGCTACTTGATACATGAATTGCCACTCTAATATAAAATTTAGTATCTTGAGAATGTCAGCACTCTTGTGTTTTTCTGGACATGTTTCAGCCAAATCTATTACTGAAGAGAAGCATCACGCTTTTCAAGTGAAACCTACAAAGTTTGGGAATTGGGTTGGAAAGAGAAATATATATTGTACCATTCCTATTCTTTGTATGACAATAACGATCACAATGATTTGTCCATAATCAGTTAATTTATTTGCAGATTTTTGTGTTTTTGTAAGGTAATCAAGTTATTTGTTCGTAAGGCATTCTGGTATACAAATTTCTACCTCATATGTGAGCATGACTGATCCTGAGTGTTGTTGTTATTCTATCATAGGTAACCTACTCCAGTGGCAGTAAATGCTTCAGCTGTTCTTCTGCTGCCGAAAGAGACAAGTGGATGGAAAACCTGCGTAGGGCTATCCAACCTAACAAGGTAGTATACATGGAGTTAAATGCACCCCAAGAAATTGCTTTCCTCAGTCAAGAGATATATCAACCTCTTCTCCAAACAATGTGCCCATTTAATTAGGTTGATGGCAACCTTCTAGCAGCCCCAGGAGTTAGAATGGCTCAATAACACCAAATTGCACCCTGCTGAGTTTTACACAGACATGTAATAGATTAAGTCTTTAGCACACTGTCTTCTGTCGCTCTTGCTAATGATTCTCTTTTCCAGGAGACTTGTCATTGCCTTACTTATTGAAAAAGTCCTTGTGTTTAGTATTCACTGCCTTTTATTTTAGCAAAACAGCCAAAGGACATGTGCTAACAATTCTGAGTTTTTATGTTTAGAATGTAAAAGAAAGGTTACTCAGGGTTAGACCATGTCATGAACCTGTTTCTAGAGTGATGAGAACAAGCCCTATGAGGAGCGGCTTAAGGAGCTGGGCATGTTTAGCCTGAAGAAGGGAAGGCTGAGAGGAGATATGATAGCCATGTATAAATATGTGAGAGGAAGCCACAGGGAGGAGGGAGCAAGCTTGTTTTCTGCTTCCTTGGAGACTAGGACGCGGAACAATGGCTTCAAACTACAAGAGAGGAGATTCCATCTGAACACGAGGAAGAACTTCCTGACTGTGAGAGCCATTCAGCAGTGGAACTCTCTGCCTTGGAGTGTGGTGAAGGCTCCTTCTTTGGAAGCTTTTAAACAGAGGCTGGATGGCCATTTGTCAGGCGTGATTTGAATGCAATATTCCTGCTTCTTGGCAGGGGGTTGGACTGGATGGCCCATGAGGTCTCTTCCAACTCTTTGATTCTATGATTCTATGACCGCTTTTTGCCATTTCCAGGGTTATAATTATATTAATGGTAACTATTACTACCTATTCTATAGACCCATATAAATCCAGCTTCCACTTGGGAGTTTTGGACAGAAACTCCCTTGATTTCCCAAAGAGGTGACTTATTCTAGGGAAAAAGAGAAGTATGATTCCATTCCCGCTGTTTGTGTAGCCAGGGGTCCTCAAACTAAGGCCCAAGGGCCAGATACAGCCCTCCAAGGTCATTTACCCTGCCCTCACTCAGGGTCCATCTAAGTCTGAAATGACTTGAAAGCACACAACAACATCAGCCAAAAGCAAGCCCACACTTCCCATTGAAATACTAGTAAGTTTATATTTGTTAAAATTGTTCTTCATTTTAATTATTGTATTGTTTTAAAGTATTTTTGCACTACAACTATGATATGTGACATGTGCATAGTAATTTATTCATTTTTTTTTTCAAATTATAATCCGGCCCTCCAACAGTTTGAGGGACTGTGACCTGGCCCTCTGTTTAAAAAGTTTGAGGGACCCCTGATGTAGCCTGTGGGTGGGAGTACCAATTTTGCAGTTGTACTACTATCTCTAAAAAGATTTCCAGAAGATTATAATAATAATACACTTTATTTATAACTCACCACCATCTCCCCAAGGGGACTCAGGACGGCTAACATGAGGCCAAGCCCAATAATTACAATAAAGCAAAGCATAATATGACAACAAATAATAACATCAAAGTAAAATGCAACAATAACAAAATATACAATAAACAAACGCAAAATAAAATGGTAAGGGAATTAAAACACAGTGGGTGGGCCAAATGTAAAGGATAAAATTTATAAAACCCTGGGTTATATAAGTAAATAGAGTAATGTGTATCTGAAGGGGGATTCAGAAGAAGCAAACAGTGGGGTTGACCTTCAATAAGGGACGAGAGAAAGTGCATCAAGAAGGCATTGACTCTTGCCGTATGGGCTTTCTGCTGCATTTTTTTTATTTTCTGCATGGTGCCAGATGCAGTTGTTCTAGAATTGTAAGCATGGTGTCATTGGTCTGCTATCATCACCAGTTTGAACACCTTGGACTAAACTTAACCATAAAAAAACACAGATGCAGATTGTGTGTATGAGAGTGAGCATGTGCAAATGTTTGGGCCTGATGAAAAGCATGGCTAGTTTTGATAGGGTCACCTTCTGCCTTAATTATTAGGCCCAAAAACATGAGGGTGCTCCTGGATTTAGCAGTCTTTTTAAATTATAAGTAACCGCCATGCCTAAGAATGACTTCTTTCGGTTTTTCTTTATAGAAATTAATGACTAATCCATTGTCATGTATGCAGTCCATTGTGTCAATAATAATAATAATAATCTTTATTTATATCCTGCCCTGTCCCTGTGGGGACTCAGGGTGTTTTACAACAAAGAGTGGCAAACATTCAATGCCATATGGTGCTAACAAAACCAAAACAACCAAAGCTACACACATCAAAAAAACATATCCAACATCCACATTGAAGTGATAATAAAGGAATTACCAATGTGGGGCTGCCCTTGAAAACTGTTCAGCAACTTCAGCTAGCTCAACAACCTAACTCCAAGTTGAGAAAGACTTCAGGTTGCATATCATATTGTTGGTGTTTTCCTGCTTATGGTGGACCGCAGTGCTGCCTGTTGCTTTCTCTGTTAACTTCAAGGAACTAGTTTGATCTATACAATCACGAACGGCCTGCATCCAGGCAAAATCATAGCCATGATTCATATAGTCCTGTAAAGTCTTTATCCTTTATGGCAGTGGTCCTCAAACTACGGCCCGGGGGCCGGATACGGCCCTCCAAGATCATTGACCCGGTCCTCGCTCAGGGTCAACCTAAGTCTGAAAGTACTTGAAAGCAGACAACAACAACAACAACAACAACAACCCTATCTCATTAGCCAAAAACAAGCAGACACTTCCCACTGAAATACTAATAAGTTTATATTTGTTAAAAATGTTCTTCATTTTAATTATTGCATTGTTTTAAAATGTTTTTTGCACGACAAATAAGATATCTGCAGTGTGCATAGGAATTCATTCATGTTTTTTTTCAAATTATAATCCGGCCCTCCAACAGTTTGAGGGACTGTGACCTGGCCTTCTGTTAAAAAGTTTGAGGACCCCTGCTTTATGGTTTCATCTGAAAGAAATATTTTTGCTTGTGTTCCCACTGTACAAAGTGAGGTTTCCTTCAACTCAATGTAGAATATTTCTGTGGTAACTTTGAAACAAAATAAATGAGGTTTTGTCTGTTCTGTTTAAGCATTTTGAACAAACTAGTTGTTCCTGCAGTCCTTTAATGATCCCTGGATATCTTATGTCTTCGACCCACTTCATTTCACTCTTTATATCTTCCTGGTAGTTCAGTAATAAAGTATAATAAAGTTAATCAGTTAATAATTGATTAACTTTATTATAGTCATAGTTGAGAATCGCTTTGTTACATATTGTGAAAGTTGTAAACTGCCTGGGTGGTTGTTCGCTGTAGAAAGATAGTTTTAAAATGTAACAACCATGATGATAAAAGATCTAAGCTACATTAAAAGATGGTACATGAGAAACGTTTTGCAAAAACCTTACTAATCAAGACTAAATAATTTTCTCTCCAGGATAACTGCCGGCGAGCAGAGAATGTATTACGTCTTTGGATTATTGAAGCCAAGGACTTGACCCCCAAGAAGAAATATTTCTGTGAATTATGCCTGGACGATACTTTATTTGCCCGCACCACAAGCAAAACAAAAGCAGACAATATTTTCTGGGGGGAGCACTTTGAGTTCTATAGTCTTCCATCGATCCACAGCATCACTGTCCACATCTACAAGGATGTCGAAAAGAAAAAGAAAAAGGACAAGAATAACTACGTTGGCCTGGTAAACATTCCCGTAGCCAGTGTGACTGGGCGGCAATTTGTGGAGAAGTGGTATCCCATCAGCACTCCGACTCCCAATAAAGGGAAGGCTGGCGGCCCATCCATCCGGATCAAATCCCGATACCAGACTATCACCATCCTCCCCATGGAGCAATACAAAGAGTTTGCTGAATTCATTACTAACAATTACGCTGTGCTATGCTCTGTTCTGGAACCAGTGATCAGTGTCAGGAACAAAGAAGAGATGGCCTGTGCTTTGGTACACATCCTTCAGAGCACTGGCAGAGCAAAGGTAAGAACAGACAGAGCTTCCACCTTCACATTGTGCTGGTTTTGTGTTCTGTTGAGAGATCGAAGATGGTTGAAGCCAAGTCATTGTCTGCTTGTGAATTCCTTAGACATGAAAGTAATTCAAAAATTTCCTGTATTTTAAATGAGAATACAACAATCTGCTTTGGTAATTTATTAAATACAAATATTATTTACTTTTATTTTCATATCCTGCTTCTTCCATCATGGAACACATGGTGAGAAGTATAAGACTCCCACTCAGTCTTCTGACTAGGCTGTGAACCCAACCTAAGCTTCATCAGCATTCAGATCAGGCCATGAGATATACAAACGTTACTTTATCATTGTTTCAGCCAACCTCATTTTTTTCTTTTATCAGACAAGAATTACAGGAAATATTATGTTTCGGATCCATCCTGAGTCATAGCTGATGCTTTTCTGTAACACTGCCTTCACATAACCAGAGAAGCGACCTTGAGATTCTTTGGTACAGAATTGGATTGACTGTATTTATTAGCATTTTGCTCCACTGGCTTCCTGGTTTTTAAAGATTTGAATCTACACATAAGTTGATGATTTGATTTTCTCAATAGACTTGCAAAATTTCCAAACATTTTGAAGGCTTGGAAAGCGTTTTTGTTTGTTTGTTTTCTCTGTGTGGGAGACGCTGCAAAATGAAATTTCCAAGAAAAATTGATATAATATAAGCCCTTTTCGGATCCCCCAGTAGTGCAGCGGCTTAAATCACTGAGCTGCTGAACTTACTGACTGAAAGGTCAATAGTTTGAATCTGAGGAGTGTAGTGAGTTCCCGCTGTTAGCCCCATCTTCTGCCAACCTAGCACTTTGAAAACATGCAAATGTGAGTAGATCAGTAGGTACTGCTTCTGCAGGAATGTAACTGCGCTCCATGCAGTCATTCTGGCCACATGACCTTGGAGGTGTCTATAGACAACGCCGGATCTTCGGCTTAGAAATTTTGATGAGCACCACCCCCAGAGTCAGACATGACTAGACTTAATGTCAAGGGGAAACCTTTACCTTTTGTTAAACCCTTTCAAGATTGAACCCCACTTTGCTGCTTTAGGGATTTGAAAGGCATTGTGTATAGCTATGTACATGTTAGGTTAGTATCACTCTTTGCCAATTTATGGAGAGCCGGCAAAACACTTTATGAACTATTAAAAATGATTTAAATAGATAAGAATCAATATTAATAAAACAGAGCAGATTGTTTTTTCTTCTTTAGTCCTCAGTAGTGATCTGTAAGTATAAGGCATTAATTTCCATGAGAAGAGCTAAGACAATGAAGCCATAACCAGGAATTACAGTGATGAGACATTCTGTGAATAGTCTTGCGTGCCAGGTATGTGCTACATAGTTTTTTAAACAATGTAAGAGGAGTAAATATGTCTTACATAGGCATTTTTCAATGAGAGGAGTCTTCAGGAAAAAAATTGCCCCTAATTTTCAATATTTTTTTGCAAGGATGCCACTTTTGCAAGGACACCAGTGTACAGATATCACTCAGTTTTATTTCTCCTTTCATAATTTAATTCTGAATAAGATGTTTAAGTACGGAACCAGTGTCTGTTGTCAGTAAAGTTATACTCACATTCAGTCAAATGTAGTTTCATTTGGGACCTTCTCCATCAATGTGTGGGTAGTGGGAGCTTAATTGTGTGTGTCACCATCTCCCCTCCCAAAGTAGAGCTACATTCAGATACAATGTTTTCAAGCATGACCTATTGGTAACTAAATTACAAATGACAATTTAGGCATAGACTGTGATGGCCATGATTGCCATAAAATGATAAATGGGTGAGAACTTAACACTGGACTGGTTTCCACTGATTTTACACAGTTCATCTGGATTTTACACGGTTCATCAGCTGCCTGCTCATACTGGATTCCATAATCTCTATAACATGTAAATGTTTTTGCTTCTACTTTGATTAAAAGATTGAGGATGTTCTTTGAGTAAGATGAGAACTATAGATCTCGTACATTAAAGATAAAAAGTCATTTTCGTGCATTAAAAATACAAGAAAGAATAAACTCACAAAAAGTTACAGTTATCAAATGGAAGGTAAGATGAAGCCGTATATCAAAAGTATCAATGTAAGGTTCCCATTCAGTTGAATGTGCCTTTCTGTCCCTGAATCCCATACTTTGCCTTGCAGCAGGCATTACAGTTCAGAATCCAGCCTTGTGCTCTTTTGCTGAGTAGAGCAATTCCTTTATCCTTCCAATCTAACCATCTTCTTGCCTAGCACAGCACAATCTGGCATTGACGAAAACAACTTCTTCCTGTCCAACTTTTCTCCTTCAGGATTTCTTGACTGATCTGGTGATGTCTGAAGTTGATCGCTGCGGGGAGCATGATGTGTTGATCTTCAGGGAGAATACACTCGCCACCAAAGCCATTGAGGAATACCTCAAGTTGGTGGGACAGAAGTATTTACAAGATGCACTTGGTACATAAACATCAATTTAATTCTTCCCTTGATTTGCTTGTTTTGAGTTGCAGAATTAGGGGTTATACATGCACAACAGCATCACAGCCTTCCTGTTTGGTTTACATTTAATTGACAGTTCTTTCTAGGTATTTGACTGTGTGAAGTTCTCGTTCCTTTTATTACATCTATGTTGGGGTATGTGAAATGGCAGAAATACATTCTGTTTTCGCTTCATATTTTGGGTGCCCCGTTCTGTTTTTGGGAAGATTCCAGAACATTGGGGGGGGGGGGCATTCGGATTTGTAATTTGGCATCTGGAGTTCTGTTTCTTTTCAGAGAAGAATCTTCCCAAAAACAGAATAGAGGGGCACCTGAAATTCAAAACAAAAGTAGAATAGATTTCTCCTGTTTTGCACACCCCTAATCTATAGTGGGGTTATTTCTGCTATAATCAGAGAAAATTTATTTATTTATTTATTTATTTGCCGTGCCAGGAGCAACCAGACATTTGTATTACATTTTTAACAAAACAAACAGAAAGACAAAACACAAAGTTTGCAAGCTTGGTAGTTGATTAAATGTCCTTTGACCAGAGAAAATGTCTATTTGATCAGAGAAAATATCTATTTAGGTCTGTTTTAACAAGCGGCTTTTAAAAGACATTCAGACTCAGGCTCCATCTACACAGGCCTAAAATTCTTTTTTAATCTGGATTCGCTTGAGGCATCCAAACATATAATCCAGTATAGGCCTGAGTGTCTTGAGAGACCCATTGCACTTGTATTTTCAGATTATATTTATTTATTTAAAACATTTATATTCTGCTCTTCCCACCCCGAAGGGGACTCAGGATGGAGCACAGCATATATATGGCAAACATTCAATGCCAGGACACAAATTCTTATATACATACATAGACATTAAAAACATTTATCAAAATATTAAAATACACCATTTAAAACCGCCCTAGTCATCCACGTCAAATCTAATTGGCCTGGTAATCTTTCCTATAGCTGCTTTATTGCCCTGTCCCGAAAGCTTGGTCCCACAGCCAAGTTTTTACCATCCTTCTAAAGGACAGGAGGGAGGGGGCCGACCTGATCTCACCAGGAAGGGAATTCCATAGCCAGGGAGCAATCACTGAGAAGGCCCTGTCTCTCGTCCCCACCAATCATGCCTGTGACAATGGGGGGATGGAAAGCAGGGCCTCCCCGGAGGATCTTAATCTCTGCGATGGTTCATAGGGGGAGATGCGTTCGGACAGATAATTTATAAGGGCAAAACACTTTAAACTTTTCCTTGTTAATGTATTTTTTACTCTTCCTGTCATGAAATATTAATTTCTGCTCTTCAAAACCTATGTAAACACATGGAAATTGTCATCAAATAATGGTGTGATGGCACATAGTACATATTCTCTTAATTTGGCCAAATGTGTGCATTTGTATTGTACAATAATATGAACAGAGTTCAAAAGAAGCTTTGTTGAAACACCTTGAATGCTTCTTTTGAACATTTACAGGATCCTTCAGCCAATACTTATTCCTTTTATGCTCCCAATTGACCTCTTCCATATCCTCAAAATGCTCCTCTGTTCCTTTAATTGCCCAGTTTCAGCAGTTGGCGGTTAAATGCTCTGCTGAACAGAAGTAGTTTCAAAGAGCAGTGCAAGTAAATGTTTGTTTCCCTGGGTTGTTCAAAATATCTTTGCTCTTGTTTCAAATACTAGTTTTGATTTCTTGACTCAGGTCAAGGATACCTGCCTAGAGAATCAGAGATGAAAGCAGCATTCACTCAAGGGAACTCTGCTATTTCCATATTCCTTTGCTGCTGCAGCTTTCCTGGTTCTTCTCTCTTGGGAAACCACCTTGAATAAGACTCAGCCGATTTCTTTTAGGAACAGGATAATGAATACATTCAGTTGAGAGATTTTATTTTGTTTTCTTTTTATTTAGAAGTTTTTGAAGCTATATACTAGTCATTTCTGGCTGAAAACTATAAAATTCATCTCTGGCGTAAAACTATAATAATGAAAACAAATTAGAACAGCATTTTAAACATTTTAAAAGATAGAAGCAGCTCCTGAAAAATTGATGCCACAGTAATAAAGGGATAAAGTCCACTTTTCTAAAAGGTCAATGGACCAACAAGGAATTTGTGTATCCTCAGAGTTTCTTTCTCAGTTAACTATTTCTTCCTATTGGCTTCTGTAACAGCAAGAAATTTGCTTTTATTTTATTTATTTTTTTGTATGGAACAGTATTGCTTTTGAGAGAAACAAAGAGATAAACTGCATTATACACTTGGGGAATATGCATGTGTGTTCTGTCGCGTGCTGGGCCTGTAAATAATTGTCTTTAGAACAAGATGTGCAACCTTTGCCCAGCGGGAAGCCAGGGGGCCTAAAGAGAAGTTCTCAGAGGTTTCCACCACAAATAGTCTTTAGATAGCTTGAGAAGTACAACAAAGTCTTTTATTAATGAACAATCAAACAGAAACTTCTCTAGTCTTCAGTAAAGTTAAGCAAATGATTCCAAGCTTTTAGGCAACTGGTGAATTCCTAATCTTGCCCATGAAGGACAGGCAACTGTCTTCAATAACTTCTACTTTAAAGGAAAATCCCCTTTTTAACTTCTCCCAGGCTGACTGTAATCTAACCCTTACTGATGTGGGCTCCGCTACCGGGTCGAACTGCTTCTCGAACGCCGAGTGGACCTACCAGCAAGGCAGTAGATGTTCTCCAGCTGGAGTTCTTTGGTCTTTAGGGCTGTTTTCCTGGAAATTCTTAAAGGTTGAAGCTTTTGTACAGGGGAAGCTTGAACACATCCTATACATAAGCTTACCTTGCTGAGATTAACTAAAAAAATAGCTCCCTTCCCTTCCCAATTGCCCTGAGCAAGGGGTGGAACCAAAACTTAACGATGAGGGACAGGTGACTTGCCCTATGACTGCAACCAAAAGAAGCCACCTATCTGCAGAGTCCCTGAAACCTAGGACTGCAATCAAACATTTAATACAAAGCAAATAAAGTTGGAGCTCCTGGTACAGCTGTACCAGAACAATGAGAATATAGCGTTCTGTAATATCACAATACTCAACTACCCTGTTTTCCCCGTAAATAAGACTTACGTCAAAAATAATCTCTAGCATCAATTTTTTCAGGATTTTCAAAGATGCTCAAAATATGAACCCTGCCTCAAAAATAAGGCCTCATTACAGTTAATTAAAAAAGTCAATTTTGAAAAATGAGACATCCACTGAAAGTAACCCATAACACATCATTTGGAACAAAAATGACCCTGCCTTATTTTTGGGGAAACAGGGTATGACCAGCAGCTCCATCATCCTAGTATTTTATGCCTGAATGTCAGTGTTCGCTTTCATTAATCATCCTTAAAGCTATCCTATAGGATCACTTTTTTATGCCTGAATGTCAGTGTTCGCTTTCATTAATCATCCTTAAAGCTATCCTATAGGATCACGGGAAGCAAATATTGTGAGCGCAGAAACACTGAAGCTCTTTGACCTACCTTGAATAATTGAATGTGCGAAAAATGTCGTGAGCAGATTGAACTTTGAATTAATCATTATTTGTTCTGTTCAATAATAACAGAATCAAATTACACCCTAATGAAATCAAAGAGCAGCATGTGTTATCCAAATTACACAAAGGAATCAGGTAGTGTTCAGATATTTGGGGAGAGTTAAAGGACAAAATGCTTCAAGAAAAACATAGGTGCAAAGTACATGACTGTAATTCAGAATGGCACATAATTCTATCGTTGCTTATAATTTGTGCTAAGACCAAATGATTTAAATTAACTGAATATCACCTTTTGGAAGATCAGCTGATTGCTAGAGAAGGACAAACATTATTCTCTGACCTCCTTCAAGGTTGAATGTTTTATAGCTGACTGCCCTCCTTATGAATGAGGGAAATGGAATGAGGCTTCCGCTTCCTTTGTGAAAATTAGCTACATGTAATTGACCTTAATCTTCTGCTTCAGAGAGGGAGCGGTTTACATCATTTGTCGCCAAGGAATTGTTCCTCTTAAGGAAAGTGAAATCTTTCCAGTGTAAGTCCAATAAAATATTACCCTAATCACCTCTGTTTTCTTACCTCATTGCTAGGTGAATTTATCAAAGCGCTCTACGAATCAGATGAGAACTGTGAAGTTGATCCCAGCAAATGTTCATCCAGTGAACTGCATGAGCACCAGGCCAATCTCAAAATGTGCTGTGAGCTGGCCTTCTGCAAGATCATCAACTCCTACTGGTGAGTGCAGGACAGGGAGGAGGGTGTCGCAGTTACCCGTATATAATAATAATAATAATAATAATAATAATAACAACAACAACAACAACAACAACAACAACAACACTTTATTTGTACCCCGCTACCATCTCCCCAAGGAGGGCCAAGCCCGAATACAACAATACAAGCAAAACAACAACAGTACAAGCAGTTAAAATAAAAACATAGACAATAAAATATACAACATTATCAATAAAACAACACACAATTAAAAACAGTGGGAAGGCCAAATGTAAAGTTAAAATGGAAATAATGCTGGGACATGGACGAAAGGTGATAGTGGCGTTTATGGAAGGGCATACGAGCAGATCCAAACAATGTAAAGTGCTTTGGAGGACAAAGTGCTATGGGATCATTATTCCGGGAAGGCACACTGGAACAACCACGTCTTCATGCTCCTCCTAAAGCAGGGGTAGGGAACCTTTGGCCCTCCAGCTGTGGTGGACTTCAACTCCCACAATTCCTTGAGGCTCAGCATTGGGCCAAGGTAAGCCTTTGGGGCGAATGCCGAGCCTCAAGGAATTGTGGGAGTTGAAGTCCACCACAGCTGGAGGGCCAAAGGTTCCCTACCCCTGTCCTAAAGGCTGCCAAGGTTGGGGCCTGTCTGATGTATTTAGGGAGTGAGTTCCAGTGTCAAGGGGCCACCACCGAAAAGGCCCTCTCTCTCGTCCCCACCAACTGCGCCTGCGATGCTGGTGGGATCGAGAGCAGGGCCTTCCCGGACGATCAAAGGGATTATGTGGGTTCGTATACAGAGATGCAGTCACGCAGGTAGGCGGGTCCCAAACCGTTCAGGGCTTTGTAGGTAAGAACCTGCACCTTGAATTGGATCCGATAAATGAATGGCAGCCAGTGGAGCTCCTTGAACAGGAGGGTTGACCGCTCCCTGTAAGGTGCCCCAATTAACAACCTGGCCGCCGCCCATTGGATCATCTGAAATTTCCGGGCCGTTTTCAAGGGCAGCCCCATGTAGAGTGCATTGCAGTAATCTAGTCTAGAGGTGACTAAGGCATGGAGCACTTTGGCCAGATCCGCCTTCCCGAGGTACGGTCGCAGTTGGCACACGAGTCTTAATTCTGCAAAGGTCTTCCCTGCCACCTGCCACGCCTGAGCCTCAAACGTAAGTGAAGAATCCAGGAGGACCCCCAAGCTGCGGACCTGCGACTTCAGGGGGAGTGCAACCCCGTCCAGCACAGGCTGCCACCCTATACCTTGGTCTGGTTTACAATTGACCAGGAGGACCTCTGTCTTCTCGGGATTATATTCCAGCAGTTAAGATGACTGGGCATATAAGACGACTCCCAACTTTTCCAGTTAAGATATAGAGTTTGGGATATACTCGCCGTATAAGATTACCCCTTTTCCAACACACACCAAATACATTTTTTTAAAACATCAGATTTGATTTCAGTATGGTAATTTTCCTATTACTGTAGCTCCTTCTCTGCCTCTCAGATCTCGCGCATACGCACCTGCACCACTTCAGTGAGATCTGAGAGGCAGAGGAGTGAGATCTGAGAGGCAGAGGAGGAGGTACGGTAATAGGATACAAGGGCGGGCCAAACAGATAAAAGAGTTGTGTTTTTCTGGGCCCAGGGCCACTCTATCTCTTTTTTCCACACCCCAGGCACCCCGGACGTCTGCAGCTTCCTCCGCTCGTCACTTACACCTTCCTGGTGAGGCACCCATTCACCTCACCATCGGGACCACATTGAGTCCACGAATCCTGATGAATAGATTTTCTTCTACTGTACTTGTACAGCATCGCCCTTAATGCTTTCATACAGTCACTGCATTTGGCAGGGACACGGCTACTGCCATTTTTGAGCTCCCCCCACAATATGCAGCAACTACAGATTCTCTAATCCAGATTGGAAGTTTCAACACCCGTTCTATAAGATGAGTCTCAGCGTATAAGACTACTCCCGCATATAAGGCGACTCCCATGCATAAGCCTACTCCAGCATATAAGATGATCCCCGTGTATAAGACTACTTCCCTGTATAAGACGACTCCTGCGTATAAGACAACCCCTGACTTTTGAGAAGATTTTCTTGGGTTAAAAAGTAGTCTTATACGCCGAAATATACGGTAGTTCTTCATAAAGATTCTTGCTGTATAGGATCAGCAAAAAGATTTGTAGCTTCTCAAGTCACTACTGACATGAAAAAAAAGCAAAAAGGGGAAAACCTGAAATGTAATGCGGCAAGAGAGATAAGAAATAGGATTCTGGGTCTATAATCAACCATCCTGTGTGCCATTGAAAGGCATGAAGCCTATCGGAGGAAGGGTTTCAGTGATTTCCTCTCATGTTAGTCATTGGCACCAGGCATTTTAGCTGATTCGAACTAACTTTTAGAGGTCAAGTGGAACTCTGGCTGAGGAAATGAAAGGGGTGATCTATTTTTGATGGTTTTGACCTGAAAACAGAACGGAGTATTGGGGATTTTTTTTTTTCGTTTTGTGGGAAGAAGCAAGATTATTTTGCCCTACAGAGGTGAGTGCAGAACAAAAAGGTTAGCTCAGCAGTTATTTCTAGCAAGATGAACACGTCAGATATTGCAGGAGTGAGCAGAACATAGCCCACGGGGGTGGGGATTATTTGTTACCCCTTTTTACAGACACACCCCCCCCCCCAATTTAATTCAGCAAAAAGGTATGAAGAACAAAATGAAAATGAAAGAAGTTAAAGAATTAGAAAAAGAGATTGAGGAGAAGGAGAGTTATCTCAAGAGAGCCCCACAAAATTCAAAAATAGAAAGAAAATATATCTGCTAAAGAAAAAGAATTGGAATCCCTGTCAAAACAAATATAAATTTGTTAGGCAACAATATTTTGAAAATGCCAATAAGACAGGAAAATGGTTGGCGAGGAGGGTGAGGAAAAAGAGACAAACACAACAAATAACAAAAATAGTAAGAGGACAAAAGACGTTCACTACAGACAAAGAGATACAGACCGAATTCCTGAATTTTTATAAGCAACTTTACACCAATGATCTTATCCCAGATGACTTAATCCCACAATATTTGGCTCATCACAACAGGTTCTTCTTTAACACAAGGCGAATACGGAGCATAATTTTGGAGATTCCTCCTAGTGTTGCTAAAATTGGTGAACTGAGGCAGCACTTTGTGAGTTCTTGGGATGAGAGTTGCCCAGCCTTGAAATATATACAAACTCCTCACTTGTCACTTTGCCTCACACTAACCAAGCATAACTTAAGGCAGGACTATCCAGGTAGTAAGACGGGCCTATACAACCCTTCTTTGTTTTCATATAGTCCTATAGAACAAGTGAGAACTATAATGGAAAGAAATTGGACTAGAATAATGAGGCACCAACAAGTGTTTAATTTATTTTTTCTCATAGTGAATTACTTTTCCAGATAAAATTATTCCAGCCACCCAGTCTCATCAAATGACAACCAACAGAATAGGATGTTCCATTACATTTACTTCTACCCTCCAGTAATAAATGTGAGGAATTTTATGAATCAGTATATTTGAACTTGTAATATAGTTTTAACTTTTTCGCTTTGGTTGTAAAACTGAGAGATTCTTAGTGGGCAGAGTGGAGTTACAAGCTTCACTTCCACAAGGAAAAGCATATTTGAGTCTCCCCAGATATAAAACCAAGCCAAATATAGTCGGAATAATAGCTTTTGTGGAGCAGGGGTGTTGTGATGCTTGTTATATTGGTGCACTACTTATGAGAAAAGGAAGAAAACATTGGATTTCAACCAGAGTTTAGAAGTAATGAGTTACAGTGCAAGTCATAGCTTGTTCTTCTTGGCAGTAACTGCCTTCTACATTTCCTTTCTGAATAGGTGAACAGAAGCCCAGAAACATTCTCCCTTTTTCAAAAGAATAGGGTTTTGGCTATTCCTAATTGCAGAACTCTGCCCCCACCCCAACAGCCCAAAAACCCTGAATGCTTGATGCCTTGTTTTCTTTCTCTTAACCACAGTCCAAGCCACATGGGATTAGGGCGGGATGCACTGAAAGCCTAACAGCACTCCCAGAATCCCCAATAATGAAAATTTGAGATACTCTCTTAGAGGTCTCGGGCACTCTTGCTCTCAAGGCTTTTTTTCACACCTGAGAAAATTTCACACCTGAAGATCAGCAGTTCAAATCCGTGAGACAGGGTGAGCTCCAGTCTGTCAGCTCCAGCTTTCCATGTGGGGACATGAGAGGAGCCTCCCGCAGGATTGTAACACATCCAGGCATCCCCTGGGCAATGTCTCTGCAGATGGCCAATTCTCTCACACCAGAAGCAACTTGCAGTTTCTCAAGTCGCTTCTGACATGATAATAATAAAGTATTTGCAAGGCTTGCTAACCAAGCTGATTTTTCATTTTGTGGAGAACAGGTGAAGCTTTTTCTGCAGAGTTCACTGTAAATGCTGCATGTTGTTGCTAAAAGATTTGTGTAAATGGCTGACTTGAAAAACTTTTTATTGTGTTGTCAAAGGCTTTCATGGCCAGAATTACTGGGTTGCTGTGAGTTTTCCGGGCTGTATGGCCATGTTCCAGAAGCATGGAACATGTTCCAGAATGCTTCTGGAACTAGGCCATACAGCCCGGAAAACTCACAGCAACCCAAATCTTTTGTTGTTGCCAAATTTTTGTGACCCCAAATATTGAGCCAAGGGAGCCTCATTTGGGCCTGGGAACCACAGTTTGAGAAGCAGTGATCTAAAGGACTTCTGAAAATGACACCATGAGTATTGCCAGGATGCTTCTGTACAGCTTGGCTTTAATTGAATGGAAGCAAACTGGTAGAGGACAGTTTGGGGAAGGGAGAATAAGGAAGTGAGCACCTGTGACTCTTAATAGATTCTAGGAGGAAAAAGTCTTTCTAACATCACAATTTAGAAATATTTGTTTGTATATCGTACTGGGACTGTGGTGCAGCTGGCTGGGAGTCAGCAGCATTAAGATCACTACTGACCAAAAGATCATGAGTTCGAAGTTAGTCCGGGTTGGAGTGAGCTTCTGGCCAATTTGTGTAGCTTGCTGTCGACCTTTGCAGCCCGAAAGATAGTTGCATCTGTCAAGTAGAAAATTTAGGTACCGCTTATGCGGGAAGGCTAATTTACAAAGCCATATAAATCTCCAGCAAGCATGCAAAGAATGAGGAAGAACTTCATCAGTGTCACAAATGGACGGTGAAGCAACAGCTCACCTGGTGGCCAGAATATCCTCATGAAAAAGCTGGAATGTGAAGGCCTCTATGTGTCTGTCTATATTTGTTGTGTGTCTATGGCATTGAATGTTTGCCATGTATATGTACATTGTAATCTGCCCTGAGTCGGAATATAAATACTGTAAATAAATAATAAATAAAAGAAAATATTAAATATGTGGAATGCAATAAGTGACATAATTGCAACTATGAAGAGGATGTGTACTGGATGATGTAATGGGGAAAGGAACCAGTTACATTTTGTGTCTTTTGATTTCCATCAACACCCTATCCTATTTCTTTAAAAATGCTAAACTCAGGCCCAATTTCCCCTTTTTTCCTGTTGCAAGAGTATTGCTGGTTCAGCTTCATTTTTGTCTGCTGTTTTATTGATTTTCAGTGTCTTTCCTCGGGAGCTGAAAGAGGTTTTTGCATCGTGGAAGCAGCAGTTCCTCAACCGGGGGAAGCAAGATATCAGCGAGCGCCTGATCAGTGCCTCGCTTTTTCTCCGTTTCCTCTGCCCAGCCATCATGTCGCCAAGCCTCTTCAACCTCATGCAAGAATACCCTGATGATCGTACTTCTCGAACTTTGACATTGATTGCAAAGGTTATCCAGAACCTGGCAAACTTCACAAGGTAAAAATGACATAGGATCAAAAAAGAGTAATATCTGGATTATGTGTAGTTTTGCAAATGAGTTGTATCACCTGTCATCTTATTTCTGTCAAAGTATATAGAATTCTGTACTAAATGACATACTGATTAGGGGACAGGTCCTTTTGCTTCAACTCCATATAGTAAAATATATTTAGAAAGAAAGAAAAACCCAAACTGAGCATTGGATCCTAGGTTAGATTGACACAAAGAGAAAAAGCTTCACTACTTTCCAAGAGCCAAGGCAGTTGAGTTGAATTCTTGGACCATGCTTTAGAAGCAGCTTCTCCTCTTCATCACCCCTAGATACTTGTGTCAGTGAAAAAACACTACCCCAGGAGTGTTCTTGAATATACCGCATTGGGTCTAGACAGAAAAAGATTATGAAGTCAAATGGAATGTAGTAGTGAAGAAGAAGACCACATTACAGATTGATTGATTCAATAAAAAAAGCCATAATCCTGAATTTGCAAGACCTGAACATAGAATTATAGAGTGGGAAGAGACCTCATGGGCCATCCAGTCCAACCCTCTGCCAAGCAGGAAAATTGCATTCAAAGCACCCCCGACAGATGGCCATCTAGCCTCTGTTTAAAAGCCTCCAAAGAAGGAGCCTCCACCACACTCTGGGGCAGAGAGTTCCGCTGCTGAACAGCTCTCACAGTCAGGAAGTTCTTCCTAATATTCAGATGATGATAATAATAATAATAATAATAATAATAATAATAATAATAATAATAATAACAATCCTTTATTTATACCCCGCTACCATCTCCCGAAGGACTCGGTGCAGCTTACAAGAGACCAAGCCCAAATACATCATAAAAACATAACAACAACAATACAACAATAAATAACTCATAATAAAGCAAAACAATACAATAATGACACGATTGAATATCTTTTCTTGTAGTTTGTAGTTAATGACAAATGGAATATCTTGTAGTTAAACCCAGATGGAATATCTTTTCTTGTAGTTTAAAGCCGTTGTTCTGCATCCTAGTCTCCGGGGCATCAGAAAACAAGCTTGCTCCCTCCTCCCTATGACTTCCCTCACATGGCTATTATGTCTCCTCTCAGCCTTCTCTTCTTCAGGCTAAACATGCCCAGCTCTTTAAGCCACTCCTCATAGGACTTCGTCTCCAGACCTTTGATTATTTTACTGGCCTCCTCTGGACACATTCCAGCTTGTCAACATCTCCCTTCAACTGTAGTGCCCAGAATTGGACACAATATTCCAGATGTGATCTAACCAAGGCGGAATAGAGGGGGAGCATGACTTCCCGGGATCTAGACACTATGTTCCTATTGATGCAGGCCAAAATCCCATTGGTTTATTTTGCCGCCACATCACATTGTTTGTTCATGCTTAACTCGTTGTCCACGAGGACTCCAAGATCTTTTTCACACGTACTGCTCTCGAGCCAGGCGTTCCCCATTCTGTAACATTTCATTTTTTCTGCCTAAGTGGAGTATTTTGCATCGAACTTCATTTTGTTAGTTTTGGCCCAGAGATATTAATTACCAACTTTCTTAGAAGACTCATTTGAAAGGTTGAAGCCAACTTGAAAATAACAACAATTATTATGAACACTTCCCCATCAAACACATTTAATCTTATGGGGAAATGTATATTTGAAGATGATATTTGCACTTTGTAATCTCCCTGCCCTACAGAAAAAGGCTCACAGGAGAGTCAGCCACACACTGAGAGTAAAACTACAGGAACACTTTAATGATGTTCAAGTGTGTTTTGCCTCACAGGCCACCAGCTTGTACTATTTAAGTGTTTAAAGCATCAGCAATTTTCAGTCAAGCTTCAGGGATAGAATGGCAAATAGTTATTTTTTAAAACTGTTGCTGTCACAGCAACTACTTTGGGATAAATTGTATATGTAATTACCTATTATTTGAAAGTAACCTTCCAAGCTCTGGGCACAAGTTAGATCAGATAAACAAAGGCCTCTATTTCCCAGTTGCTGAATAGCAGGAATATTTAGGTGTAAATTTTACTGTTTCAACTGCTCCTTGCCTTTGCACACACAGATCATCCCGATATATGTGTGGTTCATGGATTGCAAAGTAGAAGTAATTCCTCTTTTTAAATGTATTGTGTCTGCTTCCTTGAGTCCCCATGGGGAGAAAGGTGGGGTATAAATAAAGTTAATAATAATAATAATAATCTGTATGAATAAAAATGTAATGTTGGTTTGTGGGATTAACAGAACTCAAAAACCACTGGGGGAATTGACACCAAATTTGGCACAAGACACTTAACAACCCAATGTATGTCCTTCACTCATAAAAACACTGAAAAACACAGCAGAAGGGACTTTAAAAGCCCCAAAAATGACGAAAAGGTAAATGACAATACAGAAAAAGGGAAGAAAAAGGGAGGGAAGGGGAGAAAAAAAAGAAATAAATAAAAGAAAGAGGAAGGGAAAGACAGAAAGAACGAAGGAAAGGGAGAAAGAAGCATGGAAACAAAGAGAAGGAAGGAAAGAGGTAGAGAAGGAAGAAAGGAGAGAAAAAGGGAAGGAAAGAAAAAGGGGGAAGGAAGGAAAGTTAGAGAAGGAAGGAAGGAGAGAAGAAAAGAAAGTAGGAAGGAAAGCGAGAGTGAAGGAAGGGGGGAAGATGTAGAGAAAGAGGGAGGGAAAGAAAGAAGGAAAGAGAAGAAGAGAAACAAAAAGGGGGAAGGAAGGAAAGAACCAGAGAAGGAAGAAAGAAGAGAAGGAAATACGGGAGGTAAGGAAGGAAAGAGGGAGCGAAGGAAGGAGGGAAAGAAGAAGAGAAAGATGGAAGGTTGGCCACAGCAACGCGTGGTGGGTACAGCTAGTAGTAGTAGTAATAATAATACTAATTCCTGTTGGTGGTCCTTGAGGTTCTTTCAAAAACCCAAACTTGGTCCTACAAGCCTGAAGTGTCCCATTCTCTGCAGTATGCCTTTTCCCTTCCTACACCCACACATAAGTGGAGTACAGTTAGCTAATAAATAGTCTGGAGATAGTTCCTGCTCTCGCATTTTGAATACAGTTACGTCAGTATGGACTTTGGAGTGGGGCAGGAATCAATTGGGGGAGTGCAGACCAAACCACTGAATGGAACTAACCTTTTCTCATTGTCACTGTGGCTTGATGTGTCTCACCAGCAGATGTTGGCAGCACCAACGGTTTGGCCTAAAGTGACCAATTATCCCATTTTTCCCAGATACTCCCATATTAGAACTAGAGGGGCCAGAATGCCATCCCCAAACTTTTGGGGTGTGGTATGGTTTCTGGGCTGCGTGGCAGTATTCTAGGATCCTCTGAAGATGCCAGCCACAGATGCAGGCAAAATGTCAGTAGAAAATGTTGTTAGAACATGGCCAAATAATAATAAATCTTTATTTCTATCCCACTTTTCTCACTAAATGGGACCCACTGTGGCCAATCGCAGAATCCACACAACATCCCAGTGATGCTGGCCATGAAAGCCTTCAACAATACAGTATTTTTTTGTTTATTTTAACACATTTTATCCTATATTGTAACTTGGGGGCTACAGTGGTGCAGCGGGTTAAACCGCTAAGCTATAAAACTTGCTGAAAGGTTGGCGGTTCAAATCCGTGGAATGGGGTGAGCCCCCATTTTTAGCCCTAGCTTCTGCCAGCCTAGAAGTTCAAAAACATAGAAATGTGAGTAGATCAGTAGGTACCTCTTTGATGGGAAGGTAAGGGCGCTCCATGCAGTCATGCTGGCTATATGATCTAGGAGGCATCTATGGACAACGCTGGCTCTTCGGCTTAGAAATGGAGATGAACACTGCCCTCTAGAGTCGGACACAACTAGACCTAATGTCAAGGGGAAACCTTTACCTTTATCTTATTGTGGCCTGAATCTATATATATAAATTTGTTAGGGGCATCCAACGAGGAAACAAAACTCAAAAACCCCCCAACGAAACTTAACCAAAATTCCCATGCCCATAACACAACCCACAAGGTACAAACATATCTACTCAAAATGAAAAACAACACAACAACACACTCACAAAACGGCAAAACAACAAAACTCAAAAATCCCAACGAAACTTAACCAAAATTCCCATGCCCATAACACAACCCACAAGGTACAAACATATCTACTCAAAATGAAAAACAACACAACAACACACTCACAAAATGGCAAAAGGATAAAACTCTAAAAAAACCAACGAAACTTAACCAAAATTCCCATGCTCATAACACAACCCACAAGGTACAAACATATTACTCAAAATGAAAAACAACACAACAACACACTCAAAACGGCAAAAAAACAAAACTCAAAAAAACCCCAACGAAACTTAACCAAAATTCCCATGCCCATAACACAACCCACAAGGTACAAACATATCTACTCAAAATGAAAAACAACACAACACACTCACAAAACGGCAAAACAACTGAGCATGCGCATTGGAGCCCAGCCGCAAGTTCCCTGGCGCACACACATGGCCTTCCGGCCAACGTTCCCTCTGCGGAAACCATGCCCACTCCAAGCCCCGCCGCGCCGCTTCCCGCACACACACACACCCGCCGCACACACACACACAACCCCACACTCCATCACTCCCCCCGCCGCCGCACACACACACGCAACCCCACGCTCCATCACTCCCCCGCCGCCGCACGCACACACGCACCCCCACTCCCCCCGCCGCCGCACACACACACGCAACCCCACGCTCCATCACTCCCCCCGCCGCCGCACACACACACGCAACCCCACTCCCCCCGCCGCACACACACACACAACCCCACGCTCCATCACCCCCCCACCCCAATCTTACCTCCTTTTACTTCACGCCACCTCCAAACCCCACCCCGCCCCTTCCCGCCCTGTCAAAATCTAGGAAAGACAGGAAGGAAGGAAAGAAGGAAGAAAGAGAAAGGGAGGTAAAGAAAAAGGGGGAAGGAAGGAAAGTTAGAGAAAGAAGGAAGAAGAAAAGGAAAGAAAAGGAAAGATGGAAGGAAAGAAAAGAGAGACAGCAGAAAAGAAAGAAAAAGGGGGAAGGAAGGAAAGAGATAGAGAAAGAAGAGGAGAAGGAAAGATGGGAGGGAGGGAGGGAGGGAGGGAGGGAAGGAAGGAAGGAAGGAAGGAAGGAAGGAAGGAAGGAAGGAAGGAAGGAAGGAGGGGAAAGAAGGAGAGAAAGAAGGAGAGAAAGGAGAGAAAGAGGGAAGATTGGCCACAGCAACACGTGGCGGGTAAAGGTTGTTATTTCTATTATTATTATTATTATTATTATTATTATTATTATTATTATTATGCTATTGTTCCTATGAGACCCTGGGGGAATGGGAGAGGTGTCAGGTCCCAGAGGCAATGCATTGCATTATTGTTATTGTTATGATGGTGGTAAAATAAAAGGAAATAAAAAGTGAAAGAAGGAAGCAAACAGGGAGGGAAGAAAGGCAAAGGAAGAAAGGGGGAGGGAATGAAGGAAAGAGAGAAGGATGAAACCAAGTAGTGAAAGAAAGAAAGAGGTAGAGAAGGAAGAAAGGAGAGAAAGGGGGAGGAAAAGGGGGAAGGAATAGGTAGGGACCTCTCTTTCATAATAGTCCAGATATCTACCTCAACTTTGATAAGTTTTACTATAGGCCACAGCAACGCGTGGCAGGGAACAGCTAGTATTATATACAATATCAATTAATTGTTTTGTTTAAAATCATCCATTACTTGAACATTTGCTGGAGTGATGCAGTGCTGCTAAAAATGCACAAAATTTGTCTCAGTTAAATATTTCTTAAATTCGTGGCTGAAAATAGGTCACCCTAGTTAGCACAGGAAAGATCCAGAATATCTGGATCTTTCAAACATACAGTACAAAAGGCATTAATAGTTATTTTCTCAGAAGCATATTTCTAATATTTGGTAAAAGTGTGGTGTGGCAGTTTTTAAAGAATTCAGACTGTTTTTCATGTGTGTGTGTGTGTGTGAATAAAACACGAGACATGTACTTCCTCCTTTTGTAAAGGTTTGCAGTTGTTGATATATATTTTGTATTATTAACCTATTAACAACTTTAATTCCATGCAAACATGATCCATTTTACTATTGCTGCTATTGGGTTGTAAACTAGTTTTTTTGAATTTTAATCTTGCTTTTGGAATCCCAAACTACATCTGATTTTAAATGCACTTTAGCATCTGCTGTGTATAGTTTTGTGTTTGTTTTTTGAATTGAAATTGTTGACAAAAAGGTGAAGGACAACCAAGCGGAAGGAATTCAACTGTTTGCCTCTTGTTATGATACTGAGGAAAATCCCTTTTTGAAACTGATATTTGCTTTGCAGGCAAAGAGAAAATAAAATTGTCACCAACGGGAATTTCCTCTTAATTTAAACACTAGCTTCAGAAGAGAGGTTTCAACAACAGAAAAGGGATTATATTCCCCTTCCATGCCTGCTCTGATCCCATAACATATATGCACTCTCCTACTGATGCAGGTTGCCCTTTGATTTTCTTAATCTCATACTTTAAATGCAAAGGAACCTTTACTATCATATCTAGCTTTGCACAGAATTGCTACTGTAGATTCTGGTGTAAAGGTATATGAGTGCAATATCTGTGCAGTATGAGTACAATATGAGTGCAATACTGGCTATCAGTATTAAAAAACTCTAACATTAAAACAGCAAAACAGCAGAGGGAAAACAATCAGGGACATCTAATCACCTCTCAACAAAAGATTGCTCCAGGCACTGCCAGGCAATCAAATGCTAATCAAGGTGGTCAGTTGAAACATTCACATCTAGCTCCAGCAGACGAGAGTCCTTTGTCCCACCCTGGTCATTCCACAGATATATAAAACCATTTTCCTAGTTCCAACAGACCTCACTACCTCTGAGGATGCTTGCAATAGATGCAGGTGAAACGTCAGGAGGGAATGCCTCTAGAACATGGCCATATAACCCGAAAAAACCTACAACAATCCGGTGATTCCAGCCATGAAAGCCTTCGACAATACATCTTTCAAGAGAGTTTTATATAGTGCCATAAGAGAGATTGCTTGCCCATTAAGTTATTTTCAGTCTATATCTGATGATATTGATTTGAAGGCTGTGAATATTTACAAAGCTTGCTTGAATGAAAACAGTATCAAGAAACATTAGATAACATAGGCTGTATTGTACTGTCTTAATATACTCATAAATTATTATTTGGAGTCATTAACTTGAAGGAGGTGTAAAAAAAAAACCTTTCAATTTGATCGCAGGAAGAGTTGCTTTAATCCATGGAAGAAAGTTTAAGATCTCTCTATTTCTCTTTAAATTATGACACACTCTTTTTTTTCTCTCCTTCTCTCTTGTTTTTTCCCTCCCCAAAATGAAGATTTGGGAACAAAGAAGAATACATTACATTTATGAATGATTTTCTAGAGCATGAATGGGGAAGCATGAAACGCTTCTTGGTTGAAATTTCTAATGCGGACACAATCTCCAACACACCAGGATTTGAAGGATACATAGATCTGGGAAGAGAGATTGCTATCTTGCATTCTTTGCTGTGGGAAGTTGTGTGTCAGCTGGACAAGGTAATGGCACCCGGAGACTGTGGCAGGATTGCCGACAGTATCCTATTAACGGTCAACTTCATTGTTTGGTATTCTGTGTGATGTAGTGGTTTCACCTTTGAATCTTTGCTCAGCCCTGGAAATCTACTGAATAACCTTAGTCAAGTCACACACTCTCAGCCTCAGAGGGAGGCATGGGCAAATCCCACTCTGGACAATAGCTTTGCCTTTGGGCTGGAAAGGAATTGAGGGCACACAGCAATAATTATGAAAATTCCTAAGGTTAGCCTTCCTTTTCCCCCCAAAGAGGACTTGCCCTTTAAATCTATTTGCATTCTTGTTATCACTTTATGTCACTGATCTGAGTACATATATACATATTACATATTTATTATGAAGATCAGTAACCAGCACCAAAATATTAAAAAGGAACAAATGTCAACATGGGAACATCACTTGAGGAAACATAGTCACTGATCGGAGTGTCCAGCAGAATCACTAAAGAGGCTCACACAAATATAAAAACAACAACAAAACTTTATTTATATACCGCTCTATCTCTCCAAGGGGACTCAGAGCAGTTTCCAAGTAACATAATCAATACATACAAAGAAATCAGCATAAACATGAAATTAACAAGACAATATAAGCATTAAAAACCACAATAGCATATATATTTAAAATAATCCTGCCTGTTCAAAGCAGTTTAAAAGGCCGGGTCGGGCTATTGCGATTTTAGAGGGACCGGGAAATTAGGTAGAGTCTATGGCTGTATTTAGAATAAAACTAAAGAGATCAGGGAAAATACACAGACCAGTTAGATATGATCTCACTAACATTCCTAGCGAATATACAGTGGAAGTGAAGAACAGATTTGAACGACTAGATTTAGTAAACAGAGTCCCAGAAGAACTATGGACAGAAGTCCGAGACATTGTTCAGGAGGCGGCAACAAAGTACGTCCCAAAGAAAAAGAAAACCAAGAAGGCAAAATGGTTGTCTGCTGAGACACTGGAAGTAGCCCAAGAAAGGAGGAAAGCAAAAGGAAACAGTGATAAGGGGAGATATGCCCAGTTAAATGCGCAATTCCAGAGGTTAGCCAGAAGAGATAAGGAACTATTTTTAAATAAGCAATGCATGGAAGTGGAAGAAGACAACAGAATAGGAAGGACAAGAGCCTCTTCCAGAAAATTAGAAACATTGGAGGTAAATTTCAGGCAAAAATTGGTATGATAAGAAACAAAGATGGCAGGGACCTAACAGAAGCTGAAGAGATCAAGAGAAGGTGGCGAGACTATACAGAAGATCTGTATAGGAAGGGTAATAATATTGAGGATAGTTTTGACGGTGTAGTGAATGAATTAGAACCAGACATCCTGAGGAGTGAGGTTGAATGGGCCTTAAGAAGCATTGCTAACAACAAGGCAGCAGGAGACGACGGGATCCCAGCTGAACTGTTTAAAATCTTAAAAGATGATGCTGTCAAGGGGTATTAATTTCGATATGAGAAAGCAATATTTAAAGGGTAAGATGGGGAAAATGGAAGATGGAAAAAATCAACTTATATCCCCATACCAAAAAAGGGAAATGCGAAAGACTGCTCCAACTTCCGTACAGTGGCCCTTATTTCTCATGCCAGTAAGGCAATGCTCAAGAACCTGCAAGGAAGACTCCAGCAATACATGGAGCGAGAGTTGCCAGACGTTCAAGCTGGGTTCAGAAAAGGCAGAGGAACGAGAGACTAGATTGCCAATATCCGCTGGATAATGGAGAAAGGCAGGGAGTTTCAGAAAAAAACATCAATTTCTACTTTATTGACTCTTCTAAAGCCTTTGACTGTGTGGATCATAATAAATTGTGGCAAGTTCTTGATGGGATGGGCATACCAAGCCACCTTGTCTCTCTCCTGGGTCCCAATCTCAAATGGGGTCCCGTAAGAGAAAACTGACCATGGAACAACCGACTGGTTCAAGATTGGGAAAGGCGTACGGCAAGGCTGCACACTCTCACCCAACCTTTTAACTTGTATGCAGAACACATCATGCGATGTGCGGGGCTTGATGAATGCAAAGCTGGGGTGAAAATTGCTGGAAGAAACATTAACAACCTCAGATATGCAGATGACACCACTCTTATGGCCGAAAGCGAGGAGGAGCTGAGGAGCCTTCTAATCAAGGTGAAAGAAGAAAGCGCAAAAGCCGGGTTGCAGCTAAACGTCAAAAAAACCAAGATTATGGCAACAAGAATGATTGACAACTGGAAAATAGAGGGAGAAACCGTGGAGGCCGTGACAGACTTTGTATTTCTAGGTGCAAAGACTACTGCAGATGCAGACTGTGGCCAGGAAATCAGAAGACGCTTACTTCTTGGGAGGAGAGCAATGTCCAGTCTCGATAAAATAGTGAAGAGTAGAGACATCAGACTGGCACCAAAGATCCGCCTAGTCAAAGCCATGGTATTCCCTGTAGTAACCTACGGATGTGAGAGCTGGACCTTAGGGAAGGCTGAGCGAAGGAAGATCGATGCTTTTGAGCTGTGGTGTTGGAGGAAAGTTCTGAGAGTGCCTTGGATGCGAGAAGATCCAACCAGTCCATCCTCCAGGAAATAAAGCCCGACTGCTCACTGGAGGGAAAGATACTAGAGACAAAGTTGAAGTACTTTGGCCACATCATGAGGAGACAGGAAGGCCTAGAGAAGACAATTATGCTGGGGAAAGTGGAAGGCAAAAGGAAGAGGGGCCGACCAAGGGCAAGATGGATGGATGGCATCCTTGAAGTGACTGGACTGACCTTGAGGGAGCTGGGGGTGGTAACGGCCGACAGGGAGCTCTGGCGTGGGCTGGTCCATGAGGGCACGAAGAGTCGGAGACGACTGAACGAATGAACAACAACATGGCTGTACATTTCCAGGGCCTAATAGAAGAAAGGGACCTGGATAATTGGTAGAAAAGGATATGGCCAATTTCAACAGCATCTGGGGCAGAGCTAGAACTAGTCATTCTCAAAGGTTTGTTTAAACCACCAGGTCTTCAGGCTCTTACGAAAGGAGGGGAGGGATGGGGCCTGTCTTTATTTCTCCAGGAAGGGTGTTCCAGAGGCAGAGGGCCATCACCGAGAAGGCCCTCTCTCTCGTTCCCACCAACCATGCTTGTGACGGTGGTGGGAGTGAAAGGAGGGCCTCCTTGGAAGATCTTAAAGTTCGTACCAGTTCATAGAGGGAGATGCGATCGCGAAGATAGGCGGGGCCCAAACCTTTTAGGCTTTATAGGTCATAACATCCATTTTAGAGGGCCTCCTGATGGATGTTGACCATAAATCACTTTGGTCTTGGGTTCATCTGCATATACATATATATATACATATGCTTCCCTCTACAAATTCTATTTGAAACAGCTTCTGGTATCTATCACGTTGTTCATTTGAATTATACTTTAAAGCCATTTTAGGCTTTGCTTTCTAATTTTAGTCTTTATTTCCTCCCTGTTTAAGAATTTAACAAGGTTTATATGATTCTTTGCATCAAGCTCAGTGTTGCAGAAGGAAAAGAGGAGAGTTGTGAAGGAGTGTGCATGATCCATAACTACAGCCCATTCTATACTGCCATATAAAACCCAGAATAACTCCTTTGAACTGGATTATATGACAGTGTAGACTCATATAATCTAGTTTAAAGCAGATAGTGTACATTATCTGCTTTGATCATCTGGATTATATGGAAGTGTACAAGGTGTATTAGAGCAGGGGTCCTCAAACATTTTAAACAGAGGGCCAGGTCACAGTCCCTCAAACTGTTGGATGGCCGGATTATAATTTGAAAAAAACAAACAAACATGAATTCCTATGCACACTGCACATATCTTATTTGTAGGGCAAAAAACACTTTAAAACAATACAATAATTAAAATTAAGAATTTTAACAAATATAAACTTATTAGTATTTAAATGGGAAGTGTGGGTCTGCTTTTGGCTAATGAGATAGGATTGTTGTGTTGTTGTGTGCTTTCAAGTTGTTTCAGATTTAGGTTGACCCTGAGCGAGGGCCGAGTAAATGATCTTGGAGGGCCGTATCCAGCCCTCAGGCCTTCATTTGGGGACCCTGAATTAGACAAAGGAAACATTATGTCTGTATATTGCCTAACGCATGCAGCAAAGAAGGGCATGCTCTTGCCCTTTGTACATAATTATGCTTCTTTCTGAGTCTTATTTCATTGCCCTTGCACTTTTTAAAGCCCAAAGTTATTGTATGTAATTAAACTATTCTGGTTAGATTTTTCCTTTGAAAGGACAGATAATCAGAACTCTTTTGATGGTGGTGGGAGTCATTGTTATTACTGTGTGTTAGAGAAAATGAAAATTCACTGATAATTGAATGTCTTGTTGGTGCAAATACTCTGTGCAAGAACATCATCTTTCCATATTTTAGCTTAGTAAGCTAGTGGATTCCGTACCGTACCTTTCCTCCACCACTCCATAATCCCTTATTTTATGCTCACAGTATCCACTTATTTGCAGGCAGATTTTTAGTTGAAATAGGCTCTCTCACCAAAGTCACTGAAATGACTGCCTGCCTTGACATAACTGATCGGGCAGCATGAAGTGACTTATAGCTGAAGATTTGTTTTAGTTGCAGATAAAAAAAAGTTGGTAAGATCTGCTCTTTCAGTCACAACGGCAGATGTATGAATTTGAGGGTGGTAAAATCCCACAACACATTTGTGTTTCACTTTCTGGTGAAGTGACATTATGACCTAAAATTAAAGCAAGATGCAAAAACACTTTTTGCTCTTTTCCTTCATAGCCAGCAGTGTTTTTTTGGTGTTTTTTTTTGGGGGGGGGGGGGTGTCAGGAGTGACCTGAGAAACTGCAAGTCGCTTCTGGTGTGAGAGAATTGGCCGTCTGCAAAGACGTTGCTCAGGGGACACCCGGACGATTTGATGTTTTTATCATCCTTGTGGGAGGCTTCTCTCATGTCCCCGCATGAGAAACTGGAGCTGATAGAAGGAGCTCATCCGCCTCTCCCCGGATTCGAACCTGTGACCTGTCGGTCTTCAGTCCTACCGGCACTGGGGTTTAACCCACTGCGCCACGGGGGGGCTCGCCAGCAGTGGTGATGAGGGCATATAGGTGGGAATCACATGGGATTCAACCAAGGAAGTGCTTTAACAGATTTCTGTCATTGTACTTCTTTTTTAAAAAAGATAAAAGAACATCATAGTCATTCTCAAAGCTCATTAAGAGGCAAAAGCTAATTCAAATAGATGAACTTCACACTTGTACACTGCACTTCCCCATGCTTACTTCCAATGCTCCTACAATCCCCCAAATGCCAGCATGCATTTCCCTGACCCTTTTTGGCAGAAGGCATTTCCTTGCAGTGGTATGACTCTGTTTGCATTTGTAGTGATTGTAGTCTTCTCCATCTTTTGAACTTAGTTGGCTTCGCATGACAAGTTTGCATTGGCATGGCATTAGTTTGGTTTTTATTTTGGGGGTCCGTTTTTAATTTCTGTTTCCTTTTCTTTCCTCAATGTCTGCTGCACCCTGTTTCGTCTCCTCCATCCGTTTGATCGCCGTGGTCCTGCTGCTCCATAACAATGCATTGTGGTCCTGCCACATACACCCCACACACAAACGCCTGCCTTTTTTTCCTTCCAACTTCCACTCTTCCACCCATGTTCACCATTGTTATTGTTGCTTTTAAAAAAACTATGATGAAATTCAAACCCCCAAAAAACCTGAAATGGTGGATGCCACGGTACTTATTGTCGAATCAGGGTGAAAATTCCTTCCTACAGGCAACAGTAGAAAAACTGGGACCCTTGCCACGCATCCTCACAGACATTGCGAAGGCAACGACAAACCCTACGCCGATTCAGCAGCAGTTGAGACGTCTGGCAGATCACAACTCAAGTCCTAATGTCAGCCTCTCCTCAGGGCTGCAAAAAATATTTGAGGACCCTGCTGACAGGTACGCTCCACCTGGGTATATCCCAAGGGCTTTTTCGTACTAGACATGTCCATCTTGAAATAATCACTCATCTCAGGGAAAAAAACCCACTAGAATCCAAAGTAGTTTAAGAACTGATTTAAGAATGGATCTGTATAATATGCTGGGTTTTTATTTGTTGATTTTCATGACTTTTTAAAATTGATTTTAACATTATTTGATAATATTATCACTGGGTTGTTGTAGGTTTTTTGGGCTATATGGCCATATTCTAGAAACATTATCTCCTAATGTTTTGCCTGCATCTATGGCAAGCATCCTCACAGACCTGACAACCTCTGAGGATGCTTGTCATAGATGCAGGCAAAACATCAGAAGAGAATGCTTCTAGAACATGGCCATATAGCCCGAAAAACCTACAACAAGCCAGTGACTCCAGCCATGAAAGCTTTCTACAATACAATATTATTACTTCTAATATATTTGCATACTGTGAATTATAACTGTGTTTGCTTTAACTGTTGTAACCTACCATGAGTTGTTTGGGTATGAGTGGGTGGGATATAAATAATCATCATCATCATCTCAGTAGTAATTACAACCGACTTGTAAGGTTGAGCACTCATGTTATTGAATAGGGTGCCTTGTGGATCATTCATAAGACACATAGCTTCTATACTTCATTAGCTTTAATTCTATTGTCAAATGCTTTCATAGCCAGAATCACTGGGTTGTTGTAGGAGAGAGTAAACAACAGAGAGTAAACAATCAAGCGCATCAAATCAACAAAAAAAAAAAGATTCCCTCAGGCACTTCCAAGCCATTAAATGCTAATCAAGGTGGTCAGTTGAAACATTCACACCTAGCTCCAGTAGACAAAAGTCCTTTGTCCTACCCTGGTCATTCCACAGATATATAAACCCATTTTCCTGCTTCCAACAGACCTCACTCCCTCTGAGGATGCTTGCCATAGATGCAGGTGAAATGTCAGGAGAAAATGCCTCTAGACCATGGCCATATAGCCTGAAAAAACCTACAACAACCCAGCTTTAATTCTATTTTCCATTCAATATTTCCTATCCAAGAGCAAAGTCTAAGGGCTCTCTGTTACATCTTTTCAATATTCTTCAATGCAAAATTGTAAATAGCTAGTTGCTTGTGACACATAAGAATTGCCTTCCAACAAACGTAAGAGCAAGCTATATCATATATGAAAGCTAGATCTTTTTCTTTAGATTCCAAACGATAATATAGGTATGCTTGAGTAGGCCATATCCATTTTTGTACGTGGGGTTTTTATCCCTTAACACACTTGAAATTTTGAAACCACACCATCAGTAAAGTTCACCTTCACCAAGCAGGTCAAGTCCTTAATCTGCTACTAGGCATTTGGGGGAAGGATAAGGGGCACACTGCTGGAGAGGTTGTGGGTGAGATCTGGAGGAGGGTTTAATACACATTTTAATTGGATTTATTATGTTTTACTGTGCTTTAACTTAACACACACACTGTACTATTTAATTGTTCGGTTTTTTGTAATAACTTTTTTTAAAATTGATCAAAATGTGTGATTTTAGTGGCCTTGAGTCCCCCTGAGGGACTGTGGTATATGACATGCACTTCATTTAGATGCGGTGAAATCAATACCATCCAGAAAATGTCTTTGGCTTTTCAGACAACAGGTTTAACTGGGAAAAGTTAATGGGAAAAATGATTGAGTTTGATAATAATAAATAATAATATTTTTTTTTTAAAAAAAAACTTTATATACCGCTCTATCTCCCCTTGGGGGCTCAGGGCGGATTCCAAATAGCAAAACATAAACATAGAATTATCAAAACAACACAAATGCATTAAAAACCAATCCCACCCAATTCCTTGTGCAAAAATTATTGTTAAGGCAAGAATTTCAAAAATGGGTAAATTAAAAGGGCAGGATTGAAACTAGTGCAAAAACAGGGCATGGGGAGAATGGGACTGTAATAACCATCCCAACCATAGTAATAGTGGGTCCTGGACTGCTCAATTCCAGGGCATATCGGGGGACTGTCCAGGATAGAAGATGGGGGTGTCCAGGGGCTGGGCTGGCAGTAGGAGTTCTCAAAGGTCTGGTGAAACACCATTGATTCAAGCTCTTACGAAAAGAGAAGAGGGATGGGGCCTATCTTATTTTCCTTGGAAGGGTGTTCTAGAGGCAGGGGGCCACCACCGAGAAGGCGCGCTCTCTCGTCCCCACCAGCCATATTTGTGACTGTGATGGGAGTGAGAGAAGAGCCTCTCCGGAAGCACTGATAATCTCTGCTATTGTTTAAACTCCTGGTGTTTTGGACTTCAACACCCGGAAGTCCCAGACAGCTTACCAGATGTTAGGAATTGTGGGAACTGAAGTACAAAAACACCTAGAGGACCAAAGATTGAGAACCACTGCCCTATGTTATTTTTCCCCCTTCTGTGTCATAGAAAATAGAAGGATGTTAGCTGCATTCTTCTAGATACCAGCTTGTAATATATGTAAAATTCATAACTTTTTCCTTACAGTGAGATTAAGTGTAAGTCTCCACCGGAAGAAAATGAAGGATATTTCAAGGGCAACTTGCTGTTGATCCAGCAGTCATCGTCACGGAGTGTGACTTATTCAGACAAGGACGACGAGACTAATCTGCCCAATGTTCGAAGCATATCACTGATGGATCTCCAGGATCCCAATGCCGCGCAGTGTGATCCCGGCTCCATGATGCAGGATGCTCCCGTACGTTTATCCGGAAGCCAGCTTTCAGTCACCCAGGTGGCAAACATCAAGCAACTTCACAATACTCCCCAGAGTGCTCCCCAAGTTAGGAGACCTCTGCACGCAGTAGCCAACCAGCAGGGCAGCTTACAGGCCCTTTCCTTTCGGAATCCTGTTTACCATCTTAACAACCCTCCTCAGCCAATGCCAAAGGTGTCCATGGACTCCAGCTTGGAGAATCTGAGCATCACTAGTTCCCGAAGCCAGAACAGTGAAGACCTTAAGCTCAGTGGGCCAAGCAACAGCAGCATGGAGGATTTCGCCAAACGCAGCACACACAGTGAAGACTTTTCCAGGCGGGGTGCTATGCTGGACAAACATATGCCCATTGCTTTACCCCGCCAGAATAGTACTGGACAGACCCAGATCCGCAAAATGGACCAAACAGGACTGGGTGCAAGGGTGAAAGCACCCCAGTCCCTTCCCCACAGTGCTTCTCTTCGAAGCACAGGAAGCATGTCAGTAGCTTCTGCCACAATGGCAGCAGAGCCCATGCAGAATGGGAATCGGTCCCGGCAACAGTCATCCTCCTCCCGGGAGAGCCCAGTTCCCAAAGTGCGGGCCATCCAGCAGCAACAAACGCAGCAGGTAAGACACTCAACTCTGTTTGTACTTCTGACTCTGTTCCTCTGTGTTATGTATAGTAGGAGAAGGAGGGGACCCTTGCATCAGACATGGAAGGTCAGCTTATGACAAAGGCGTGTTGTGTAAGAAGCATAGTTGCCATGAATCTATAGACCTCGCCTGGGTAGGGCATGGTCTATATGTGCCCTAGCATGTACAAGAATGTCTTTGTCTTCTCTCTAGTGGCACATTTATGTAATAAGGTCAGCTTCCCCTTGAAAAGGAAAGGAATTGGTTTGGAGACTAACAATTGAAATTTTGGTGATTCTGTTTTGTTTTGGTTTGGTTTTTTGCCCATAATATTTTTATTGTTTCAACATTCCAACTTTCTTGCTTATACTTGATTTCTGTTGGTTCTCATACTTATACACACTTCATTTTCAGGTAACATTTCTTTTGTCTGCACCTTCTTTTTTTAATACATACATACAAAGTAGATACTCCACTTTGGCAGAAAAAATGAAATGCAAAGATACAGAATGGGTGACGCCTGGCTCGAGAGCAGTACGTGTGAAAAAGATCTTGGAGTCCTCGTGGACAACAAGTTAAACATGAGCAAACAATGTGATGTGGCGGCAAAAAAAGCCAATGGGATTTTGGCCTGCATCAATAGGAGCATAGTGTCTAGATCTAAGGAAGTAATGCTACCCCTCTATTCTGCTTTGGTTAGACCACATCTGGAATATTGTGTCCAATTCTGGGCACCACAATTCAAGAGAGATATTGACAAGCTGGAATGTCCAGAGGAAGGAGGGGGACTAAAATGATCAAGGGTCTGGAGAACAAGCCCTATGAGGAGCGGCTTAGGGAACTGGGCATGTTTAGCCTGAAGAAGAGAAGGCTGAGAGGAGATATGATAGCCATGTATAAATATGTGAGAGGAGGGAGCAAGCTTGTTTTCTGCTTCCTGGAGACTAGGACGCGGAACAATGGCTTCAAACTACAAGAGAGGAGATTCCATCTGAACATGAGGAAGAACTTCCTGACTGTGAGAGCCGTTCAGCAGTGGAACTCTCTGCCCCGGAGTGTGGTGGAGGCTCCTTCTTTGGAAGCTTTTAAGCAGAGGCTGGGTGGCCATTTGTCAGGGGTGATTTGAATGCAATATTCCTGCTTCTTGGCAGGGGGTTGGACTGGATGGCCCATGAGGTCTCTTCCAACTCTTTGATTCTATGATTCTCTTCAATGACATTTTTTATTAACACACCTCATTCCCACCCCCATCGCCCTTCTCTCTGACTATTTATCATGTCATCAGCAACCATACCATTGTATTACATTTCTTACAGAACAAAACAAACAAACAGATAAAAAAACACAAATTTTGCAAACTTGGTAGTTGATTAAATGTCCTTTGACCAATATCTGGCCACTTGGAGTGCCTCTGGTATTGCTGCAAGAAGGTCCTCCATTGTGCATGTAGCAGGGCTCAGGTTGCATTGCAGCAGGTGGTCTGTGGTTTGCTCTTCTCCGCACTCGCATATCGTAGATTCAACTTTGTAGCCTCATTTCTTAAGATAGGCTCTGCATCTCATGGTGACAGAGCACAGTCTGTTCAGCGCCTTCCAAGTCGCCCAGTCTTCTGTGTGCCCAGGAGGGAGTCTCTCATCTGGTATCACCCATGGATTGAGGTTCTGGGTTTGAGCCTGCCACTTTTGGACTCTCACTTGTTCCAGCGAGTGTCTCTGTAGATCTAAGAAAAATATTTCTTGATTTAAGTCGTTGACGTACTGGCTGATACCCAAACAAGGGATGAGCTGGAGATGTCTCTGCCTTGGTCCTTTCACTATTGGCTGCTACTTCCCGGAGGATGTCAGGTGGTGCAATACCGGCTAAGCAGTGTAATTTCTCCAGTGGTGTAGGGCGCAGACACCCTGTGATAATGCGGCATGTCTCATTAAGAGCCACATCCACTGTTTTAGTGTGGTGAGATGTGTTCCACACTGGGCATGCATACTCAGCAGCAGAGTAGCACAGCGCAAGGGTAGATGTCTTCACTGACTACATATTTACCCTTTATGTTTATCTTTAACCATGTGCATAATTTCCTGGCCATTTGAACTGGTGAGTCAGGTACAACATAAAAATGCAATTTCCCAGGACTCAGAAAGGTGTTTTTTTAATCTTAGTGCATGGATCCCCTGGTAACACCCTTTACATCAGGCATGGGAAAACTTGGGCCATCCAGGAGTTTTGAACTTCGGCTCCCACAATTCCTAACAGCCTGTGGGAGTTGAAGTCCAAAACATTCAGGCAGTCCAAGTTTGCCCATGCCTGCTCTTCATCATCTTTGTGATGAAGTAAGCTGTGTTATTAAGAACTCCCACTGGTGTTGCATTGATCTCCTTTGGGGTGAGTTCCTGGAAATGGCTGGAAAATAAACCAGTGCTTTCTGAAGCCAGCAGAACCACAGAGAGAACTGTGCAGTCAGGCTACTGGTGCTGAATGGTGGGGTCTTTTAGCAGTATCTCCTTCCTGTCATTGATTATTCCCTGATCTACATGTGAAAAGCACATAAAAGCAGAGCCATGTACCTTCAGAGAAGCTCTCCTTTATGTGATCCGCCTGGTAATCCAAATGCAAGGTTTTATTTATGTAGTATCCTTGTTGCTCAGAAATGACAGGTGTTTCCTTCCAGTTGCTGCTGTGATGTGCAGTGCTGCCTCCTACTGGGGGCCTCCTTTGTTTTTCTGTCTCATGGTTGCAGTCAATGTAATTCCAAAGCCTACAGAAATGACTTGCAAATAAATGCAAGATTAGAATGTCATTATTCTCTCATTGAGCTTCCACTTTAAACATTGGCAGATTGTAATCCATATCTAATCCATTTGTTGCTCACTATTTTGCTGTCAAAGCCTACTGGATGTCAGCAATCTCGTGGAAAATAAGTTTTTCCATAGGGTTGTTGTAGGTTTTTCCGGGCTATACGGCCATGTTCTAGAGGCATTTTCTCCTGACGTTTCGCCTGCATCTATGGCAAGCATCCTCTACCTCTACGTCTCACTACCTCTGAGGATGCTTGCCATAGATGCAGGCGAAACGTCAGGAGAAAATGCCTCTAGAACATGTCCGTATAACCCGGAAAAACCTACAACAACCCAGTGATTCCGGCCATGAAAGTCTTCAACAATAAGTTTTTCCATAAATATCATTACATATTTTAAATTGCAAATTATGCTAATGAAGTCCCAGACCTCCCCCACACACATACCATGTTTGAGGAAGTTTCTTTGTTGGCGTTGAGGGTTGTCAGACTCTCCGTCCCTTGTTAATTGTCTTCTGTTTTAAAGAGCAAAGGGGAGTCCTTGTCTGGTGTTTAAGAGGGCAATTTATGTTCTGCTTTTCTGTTGACTAAGTCAATGGGGAACAAATGTAGAAGACTAGCAACAGCATTAGAACCAGCTACAAATGATAAAACAGGAAGTGTTTACGTTCAATAGGATCCTTTGAAGCTGGATAATAGACAGAAAGAGGGAATGAGGAGAAATAAAAGATATTGCTGTTAAAAAACCTGTTGGGCACTCTTCCTGTAGCCTAAAAATCATGACCCAGGAAACTACTGTTGTGACTTTCCCCATGTGCAAGTGCTTTACACTTTCAGCATTTTTGTGTTTTCTGGACATCTAAGTTCCTCTTGGTTCAAGACTTCTTTCACCTTGCAGTAGAGAATACAGTCTCTAACTTTAACTAATGTTTGCATGGTGCATAAAGTTGTAGTTACTCATCTATATAAATAAAAATGTAATGTTCATTTGTGGGATTAACAGAACTCAAAAACCACTGGATGAATTGACACCAAATTTGGACAGCATACATCTAACAACCCAATGTATGTTGTTCACTCAACATTTTTTGATGTTCTTATTTGGGAGTTGTAGTTCTTGGGATTTATAGTTCACCTACAATCAAAGAGCATTCTGAATTCCACCAATGATAGAATTGAACCAAATGTGACAAACAGGATTCCCGTGACCAACAGAAAACACTAGAAGGGTTTGGTGGCCATTGACCTTGCGTTTGGGAGTTGTAGTTGACCTACATCCAGAGACCACTGTGAACTCAAACAATGATAGATCTGGACCAAACGTGGCACAAATATTCCATATGCCCAAATATGAACATATATGGAGTTTGGGGGAAATAGACCTTGACATTTGGGAGTTGTAGTTACTGGGATTTATAGTTCACCTACAATCAAAGAGCATTCTGAACCCCACAAATGACAGAATTGGGGCAAATTTCCCACAGAGAACCCCCATGACCAACAGAAAATACTTAAGGCCATCCAGTCCAACTCTCTTCACCAGTGCAAGAAAACGTAATCATAGCCCTCCTGACAAACAGCCATCCAGCCATAAATAGAGATAGATATATATGATTCACACACACACAGATATAATATCATAGATTTGAAAGGGACCCCTAAAGAAGGACAATTCTATGTTGCATGTTCCAGAGTAGGCAAACCAGACACTCTCCACATCAACACTGACAAAGAAACAACAAGAAATACTGTTTACCCACAAGCATAAAGAAATTACATAGATTAGAAACCATTACTTCATTTTCCAGATCACCAGACTGGGCCACAGCAACGCATGGCAGGGAGACGGCTAGTTAATAAATGATTTCATATTTTTATGTTTTTTTACTATAACAGTTTTACATTATTTTAAATTGATTTTATTGTAGTTTCACCCTGAGATCTTGGAAATAGTGCTATATAAGTACTTCAGTATATAAATACATAAATAATAGCACACCATCAAACAGTGCTGGTTGAAAGCTTTTTGCTACCTACCGGTGTCTTAATGCTAATATTGCTACCCAATAGTTCCATGAAAGTAAGATATCTGTTTGTCTGCAGAAGGATAGGTTAGCTATCACTTACTAAAATTTATTTGAGAGCCAAACCTTATACTGAAGATTTTTTTATGCCAAAAAGTTGCAATTTGATAGAACATCAAGTAGTTCAAAAAAGTTCAGTAAGTATATGGATCCTAAATACTGATTCCTCTCCCGTTTCTGTTCCAGCAGACAAAATAATCGTATTTTAGTGGCCTTTTTGGAATTATACATTTATATGCAAAACCTAAGCAGGGCTGTTACAAACGGGTGTGGGGGGAGGTCTCTCATTCTTCATAAATCTACAAAGTCACCACAAGTTGAGACCAACTTGATGACACAGCAATTGCAAATGTAGCCTAAAGAACAGTTGTAGCACGTACAGTGTTGTTCTGCTATAATGCTTTGGTGCTTGATCAGGGCCATCACCAAAGGAGATTCAAGGGTCGTCAAGATAAGAGAAAGTTATTTGTGTGAAAGAGTTATTTGTGTTTCATGGATGTAGCAAGTGTTATACAGCAAAGAAAACCCATATTTAACTTTACTGTAGTGACTAGGCTTGGTTGATCCAGCTCGTTAATTTCTAATCTCGTTATGAAATCGTAAATAAAATACCTTTAGAAGCGATATCGACGCGTTTTGGCAACCCGGAAGTGTTTTTGCCATATCGAAGCTGCGTCTGCCATCTTCCTTACAACTTCCGGCAGTGAATCATAAATGCTGGGGGCGTGGCCTTCAGGAACAGCTGTTCTTACCCACGCCCATCTCCTTCCTCTTTGCATCGGTAGCTTTGCGAGGTGGGCGTGGCTACCTCCCTGGCGACAAGCGGTGATGCGGAAGAACTGGGCGTAGCCACGGCCACCTCCCAAAACCCACCTCGCAAAGCCGCCGATGCAAAGAGGAAGGAGGTGGCCGTGGGTAAGAACAGCTGTTCCTGAAGGCCACGCCCCCAGTGACCTCCAAGGAGGGCTGTGCTTGGCCACATCGCTGGGGGCGAGGCCTCCAAGGAGGGCTGTGCTTGGCCATGCCCACCTCTCCCTTCTGCATGACTGACAGCTTGCCAGGGAAGGGAAGGAAAGAAGAGAGATTTAAAAAGTGTTAGTTTTAAAATCTCTCATCTTTTCTTCCCTTCCGTGGCAAGCTGTCAGTCATGCAGAAGGGAGAGGTGGGCGTGGCCAAGCACAGCGCTCCTTGGAGGTTGCTGGGGGCGAGGCCTCCAAGGAGGGCTGTGCTTGGCCACGCCCACCTCTCCCTTTTGCATGGAAGCTCGTGGCAAGGGAAGGAAGGGAAATTACGAGATTTTAATGGTTCTGGAGGGAGGGAGGGGCACCTTCCATTAACGAAACAAAGGAAGCGATTAGTATTTCCTGGTATTTCCGATCTTTTTTAAAAGAAAATTTCAGAAATAATTTCAAAATCGAACCGCCAGCGCCCCCTATATACAAAACAAGTTTAGAACCATTTTTTTCTTGATCAACCAAGCCTAGTAATGACCTCTGCAATTATGGGAAAGCACGCCTCGAAGCCACCATGTCTCTTGTGCAGGTATACATGCTCACTGTGCCAAAACGGGGGTGGTTGGAAGAAGAGCCAGCTCTTCACCCCCAGCCTTTGCCTTTCATAGCTAGACTGAAATGTGAGGAGACAGAAACAAATTACATTCTTGCAGCTAAAGTTGTGCTTTCTAGAGATGGGAAGGCCTGGAGAAAAATGGAAAAACTGGGAAAAAACTTTTCCCCCTGTTCTCCCCCCATTTTTTCCTGTTTTTTTCACCCAATTTTTCTACTTTTTTTCCCCCAGGCCTTCCCATCTCTAGTGATTATATGCGTACACACACACACACATAGAGGGGGGGGGGGTGGATGCCATGCTTGGGGGGTGTGTGGATGCCATGCACTATTTTCATGAGTGCATTAGAGCACTCATGAAAATAGTTCATGAGTGCTCTAATTATTCCATGCCAGTTTCGAGTCGTACCAATACATTTTGTGGGCAATGCATTTATCCAAGACATATCCAGCTGCTAGCAAGGACTGCCCATTATCTCCCCAAACAGCAGAAATGAAATATTCAAAATTAAGTGATAATCTTGCATGCATCAATTCACCGAATTAAAAAAACGTATTATTATTGCCACATTCCTCTGTAATATGCACATGGGAAGCACCTATGCTAATAGGTCTTGCCCATTTGCTTCCTTCTTGTGCCTCTCACTGGGAGGTTCCCATGCTGTGAAGAATAATCTGTTGTGCTTCTGGTGACATGGTGATCATTGGGGTGTGTTAATAGATGGGATTTTTCTCCCTCTGACAAACTGAAGGAATTCTTCTATTGTTTTTGTGCTCTGGTTGCAAATTCAGTCACCTGTAGACTCCGCCACAATGTCGCCAGTAGAAAGGACAGCTGCCTGGGTCCTAAACAATGGTCAATATGAAGAAGAGGAGGAAGATGGTGAGCAGAACCAAGATGGAATCAAGCATGCAGAAAAGGTAATGGCCATCATTTACTCTAAAATTTCAAAAATGTAGAAGTAAGTTAGAAGTGAGATGCTCAAGACATTGTCATGTTTTTATTTCCTAATCACCTGGATACTGCTGACCTTGCTCTCCTTTAGTGTCTGGAAGTTGTGGCCAGGTAGTTGAAGACTAGTAGATAGTGGAACCTGAATCCAGGCAAGTCCTGGCTGTTGCTTATAGCCCTGTATCAAGTACTTTTCTGGGAGGGGACTCCAGGTTCCTTGCAACTTATTTGTTGAAGTTATTTTTCTTTTATTCTGCCTCAATCTCAAAAAAGGCAAGAAACAAATGGTTTACCTCATGTGGTTACCTTCCTCCCTCTTCTCTTTAGTACGAGCAGGAGATAACAAAGCTCAAGGATCGCCTGAAGGTGTCAAATCGTCGGCTGGAGGAATATGAACAGCGCCTCTTGGTACAAGAGCAGCAAATGCAAAAGCTCTTGATGGAGTACAAGACAAGGTTGGAAGACAGTGAGGAACGTCTGCGAAAGCAGCAGGAGGAAAAGGATAGCCAGATGAAGAGCATCATCAGCAGGTAAGGAGGAGGATGCTTCATGGGAATAAGGGAGGAACGGATAGAATCACAGAGTTGGAGGGGACCTTGTGGGCCCCTAACAAGAAGCAGGAAAATGGCATTCATAACTTGACTTTAAATCACATGGGCCAAATCTGACTGGCCATGCCATTTTATGTGGCCCTCCAGATGGTGCACTGCAAGTCCTGTATTGATTTTCATTAGACATCAGGACTACAGCTGATGGGAGTTGTGTTACAGTCACATCTGGAAGGCTGCCATTTGTTCTCTTTAGGCAGGAGAGTGGGCTTTGAATTTAAATACCAGGATTGTGGATATTAGACATTTAAAAATATCCTTTAACCTTTCCCCAACCTCAGAGCCATAAGTGCTGTTGGGTTGCAATTCCCATTATCCCCAGTCTGCATGGCGAATAATCAAAAGTGATGGGTAAAAACTGGCCCAATTCAAAGTGCTGGCTTTAGCCTATAAAGCCCTAAACGGTTCTGGCCCAACTTACCTGTCCAAACGTATCTCCCCCTACGAACCACTGAGGACTTTAAGATCATCTGGGGAGGCCCTGCTCTCGGTCCCGCCTTTGTCACAAGCACGTTTGGCGGGGACGAGAGACAGGGCCTTCTCAGTGGTGGCCCCTCAGCTATGGAACGCCCTCCCTAGGAAGACCAGATCTGCTCCCTCCCTCTTGACGTTTCGGAGACAAGTTAAAACATGGCTATTCGAGCAAGCATTTACAAACATAGAGAAGCTAATATAGGAAGTCGAATGGCCTGACAATGGAATTGGACGATGCTTAAGAATAATGAGATGCTGATTGTGCTGTTTTTATTGCTTTTGATGTCTTATACTGTTTAATGTTTTTTATCCATATTATGGAGCCCCCGGTGGCGCAGTGCGTTAAACCCGTGTGCCGGCAGGACTGAAGACCGACAGGTCACAGGTTCGAATCCGGGGAGAGGCGGATGAGTTCCCTCTATCAGCTCCAGCTCCTCATGCGGGGACATGAGAGAAGCCTCCCACAAGGATGATAAAAACATTAAATCATCCGGGCGTCCCCTGGGCAACGTCCTTGCAGACGGCCAATTCTCTCACACCAGAAGCGACGCAGTTTCTCAAGTCGCTCCTGACATGACAAAAAAAAATCCATATTATATTTTATGTATACTGATTTGTTGGAAACCGCCTTGAGTCGCCAGTTGGCTGAGAAAGGCGGTATACAAATACAGTAAATTTATTTATTTATTTACTATATTTGTATACCGCCTTTTTCGGCCTTTCGACGACCCAAGGCAGTTTACAGGTAGCAAGTCAATACACATAATATCAAAATGCACATAAAAACATTAAATACAATATAAAACCACAACAGAAACAATAAGCAACAGCCAGGAGACATGCGTTTTTAAAGTCTCCTCCTCAGTCCCCTTTTTCCTATTAGCTGACTTGGGGGGGGGGAAGCAGCAGGATTTCCTCCTTCTCCTCCTGAGGTGGCAGGCAGATGTAGTAAGCAACAGCCAGGAGACAGGTGTTTTTAAAGTCTCCTCCTCAGTCCCTTTTCTCCTCTTAGCTGGCTTGGGGGGGGGGGGGGGGGGGGGCAGCAGGATTTCCTCCTTCACCCCCAACAGAAATAATAAGCAGGAGACAGGTGTTTTTAAAGTCTCTTCCTCAGTCCCCTTCCTCCTCTTAGCTGGCTTGGGGGGGGGGAGGAGAGAAGCAGCAGGATTTCCTCCTCCTCCTCCTGAGGTGGCAGGCAGATGTAGCCAGGATACAGGTGTTCTGAAAGTCTCCTCCTCAGTCCCCTTTCTCCTCTTAACTGACTGGGGGTGGGGGGGGGGGGAGAGAAGCAGCAGGATTTCCTCCTCCTCCTGAGGTGGCAGGCAGATGTAGTAACAGCCAGGAGACAGGTGTTTTTAAAGTCTTCTCAGTCCCCTTTCTCCTCTTAGCTGGCTTGGTGGGGGGGGGGGAGAGAAGCAGCAGGATTTCCTCCTTCTCCTCCTGAGGTGGCAGGCAGATGTAGTAAGCAACAGCCAGGAGACATGCGTTTTTAAAGTCTCCTCCTCAGTCCCCTTTTTCCTATTAGCTGACTTGGGGGGGAGAAGAGAAGCAGCAGGATTTCCTCCTTCTCCTCCTGAGGTGGCAGGCAGATGTAGCCAGGATGCAGGTGTTCTGAAAGTCTCCTCCTCATTCCCCTTTCTCCTCTTAGCTGGCTTGGGGGCGGGGGGAGAAGCTAAAAAAGCATCAACTAGTATGTTTTTAAAAACTGATAGTTAGCCCTCTTTGTCCACGGATTTTTCATCCATGGATTCAACGGTCCTTTGGAGGCCACCATAAGGCTGATGTGGCATTCAATGAAAATGAGCTAGAAACCCCGACTTTAAATCATTACCTATGACCACCTCTCTTATGAAGTGTAGTGATAGTTGCTAAAGGGAGAATTATGTTGCCTTATTCAGAAGAGGCTGGTGCAGAAGGTATAAAAAAACACTCAGCAAATAGTCATACAAAGAATCAGTAGAAACCAGAATGGGCCAAGGAGTTTGGTGACTTTATTCGGAGTGTGTTTTAGCTAGACACTCCTCCTCAAGAGGATAGGAGGACTGGAATTCAAATGGCAGTCCACATTCTTCAGTTCTTGTAAATGAACCTTTGCTGCAGAGTGTAGGTTTAAACTTAGCTGTAAATGTGTCTTGACGCTTGCCCTGCTGAACTTGTTGGCCAAGGAACAGAACGGGGGGCTTGGACTGTCTTTAGGCAGTTGCTGGACTGCTTTGTTTTTCTGGAAACCCCCAAAGACATTGTTGGGTTTCTTTCTTTTGTCTTCTGCCTCTTTGCCAGGTTAATGGCTGTAGAAGAGGAGCTGAAGAATGACCACGCAGAGATGGAGGCAGTGATAGAGATTAAACAGAGAATAATTGATGCACAGGTAAGGATTTTGTCTTTACAGGTATTGCAGCAATAATTCCTCATTGTGTCCCGTGCCTAAAACACTTAAGCAACAATTAAGGTAATGTCTCACTGGAGAAATGGCAGGGCTTATTTCTTTCAACACAAGATGGCTGATGCCTTACACAGTCTGGAGCAGATAGAGTGTAAACTGCTGCACTAACCAAAGTATTATAGGGTCAGAGCAAAATGCTGAGCTGCTGCTGTAACCTGTGATCTGATGCAGAGACAAGGCTTTGTGTTGTGACCTTAGTCGGTTTTAGCTTGCCATGCCATTGCAAGATGTGCTCCGTTTGCCCATGCCTTGGTTGGCATAGAGGAAAGCAGAAACGCATGCAGACACGAGTATGCTCACTTCTTTTTTTGCTTTTGGGAGTTGAGCCTGGAGGCTCTATCTGAGCTTCCTTTGCCTCCCAATTCGAGTGCTCTCATTTATTCATCTCAAAGGAAAGAGGATTAAAGATGCACATGAAGTACACAAAGTAATCACGTTGATCTCTTTCTTATGAGCTCTGCTTATGAGGCACTGTTAGTGGGGCAATACCCCTTGCTCTCAAGTCATGGAATTATCTGCTATTTTAGCATTTCTCATTGCTGGAAAAGAACCTTTCAAAGAGACTTTCAGCACCAGCCACATTTCCTTGGCTTTATCCAGGCACAAAGGACCAGAGCGTGGACCTTAACCACCAGCTGCTTTTCCCAGATGCTCCCCAGTTTAAATGTAACCATAGGTGCCTGGGTATAACTCAGGTTTTTGAGTATCTACCTTCCTGTGGCAAGTATGATCTGCAAAAATAGAGCTTTGTTATTCCCCCCCCCCCCCCCCCCCATGATGTAACACCTCGAGGACAGTGGGAATTATCATCTCCCAGAACGGCTTGGTCTCAGCGATTTAGCAGCAGAGTACTGTGGACTGGTGCCTAAGGCTGGTGTTTAAATTGAGGCCAAGTCTTTCAAGTCCAGGGCAGCCATAGAAACATACAACTTGGTTTGAGGCTCTATCACAACCCACAAACACTAAAGAAAATTATGGGCTATCTTCCAGGTGCAACAACAGTGATACCAAAGCTGCAAAGCAGTCAGAAACTTGTCTGAAGCCCCTGCAGATATGATGGAGGCAAACTGGAAGGGTCCAACACTGGCTTTCTAAGGAGCTTGTGGTCAATGTTTTATCCCATCCAGTTGCTCAGGAACAGAGTGCTATAACTCTGATGGAATTGGAAGGAGCACCAAAGAGTTTGCTTTGTCATCCTGTGATTAGAACGTCTCTTCCCCATGTTTTTTCCTTGCCAGTCTCTGTTCTTCAGTTAGTCTGTCTTTGCTTGTTTTGGGGGAGGAGGAAGCCTAGATATCACTGTTGTCCCCCCACCCCACCCCATACATTAACGGAGCTTCACTGTGCAGGCTGAGCTTCCATTTGTAATTGCAAGTGACATCACCACTGTGTTAAATTACAGGTCTTAAATGGGGATGAGATAATTCAAGCAGGCAAGTACACCCAATCAATTCTCTAGCTGAGCACCACCCTGCCCTGGCCTGGCACACTCGCCTCCCACTACACATTCCAGCTCCTGCCACTCCCTGAACCTTGTCCAGATGCTGCTTGAAACCTCTGCTCTGCGCTTGCATTTTGAGTTGAACAGCGTCATCAGGGCTCCCACTCCTTTAACCCCCAAGTTCTGGATTAATTTCTCTACTTTTAAATTTCTGTTGTCACACACCGAATTGTGGCAAAAGCACACAACCATGTTTGTATGACAACAAAAGCAGGTTCAGCATAAAGAGGAAATGTGCGGCAGTATCTCATATCAGGGAGAGCTTTTCAGCTGAAACATACAATCAGTGCTTTCAGATGTACTCTTGAATCTGTAATGGAAGTGCATATTGGGAGTGTTCTCAATATGGTGTGAGAATAGTCTATAGAAACTGGATGAGCTATTTGTCACAGGACTGCCCAAAATCCAGTTGTTTCCCTGTTATTTCCAAATGAGATCCTGAGGCTTCATCACAATAGAAAAATACAATGGATCTTATTATAATCTCTCACACAGCAGCGTATCCACTTTGTATTCTTGCATTCTAGATTTTAGCAGAACTTGTAGTGCTGGTCATTCTCAGTTGGTACTATAATCTTCTGTTTTGCAGATATATACGAGGGGTATTTTTTAAGTAAGGTCCGTTTGAACATAAGTACACAACGAAGGTTTATTTCAAAAAAAGTAAATTTATTTTCAGAAAGTACATACTTCACTCTATTTTTCGACATAGTTGCCAAGTTTGTTCAAACACTTATCATACCTCTGAACCAATTTTAAAATACTCTCTTCATAAAAACTTGCCGCCTGCTCCGATAACCAAGAGTTCACTGTAATCAAAGAAGGGCGAACGGAGCGGTCCTCATCATGGACGTTGTCACGGCCATCTTTGAATTGTCGTACCCACTTACGCACTTTGCTTTCACTCATAACACTATCACCGTACACTTCACAAATCTGTCGATGAATTTCCGCAGCAGGCAGGTCCTTGCTGTCCTTGCTGACAAAAACCGTATCACTGAGCGAACGTCACATGCGGCGGGTGAGTTGATAGTCTTAAACATTTTTAAAGTACAGAACAGAACCATACAGGTTAGCTACAGAGCGGAAACTGAGCACAGTTGTTCCCGAGGCATGCCGGTACGCGACGCATGCGCTCGTTGCGGTATGCGCACGAACTACTAGTGTCTACAACAAAACAGACCTTATTTTAAAAATATCCCTCATATTTTGGAGAGAGTTCTCCTCCTCTCTGCCAAATTTTATCAGTTTAGGCAGAGAGGAGGAGGAATTTAACTCAGAAACAGAACTGGTCTTCTGGCTTCCTTTGACATAACAAATAGCAAAGTAAAGAAATTGCGCGCACATAGTGTCACCACTTTTTAAATCAGATTTTCCTAAGGTAGCAAAGGAGTCTCTTCACAGATGTGTGCCATCTAAGTATGGATTATAACAAATGTTTATCTGTGATCAGGACCTTCTTTGGATGCCTAGAAGCAATAGCAAGGGAAGAAACTGTAGAGCAGTGTTTCTCAACCTGTGGGTCCCCAGATGTTTTGGCCTTCAATTCCCAGAAATCCTAACAACTGGTAAGCTGGCTGAGATTTCTGGGAGTTGTAGGCCAAAACACCTGGAGACTCACAGGTTGAGAACCATTGCTGTAGAGGCTAATGCTTTCTTGTCATGTTTTTCCAAGCTTTGGAAAAGCTAGAAGTGTAGTCAGACAAAATAGAATTCCTTCCATTGGTGGTGCTTCTCCAAAGCAGTTCATGCTCAAACTTTGTGCCAGAGCACACCACACAACCAGTGAGGGAGCCATGGAGAAAACCGATTTGCTACCCTCCAACTGAGGACTTATTTGCTGAAGACTTCTGCTGCATGAAGACCTTTGCTGTGGGCTGCTGCCTGTGTGCACAAAGTAGCGATCAATATTTATGCCAAAGTTTGTTTTCTGTGCTTCTCAACTATCTTAAGGAGAAGCACTCCACTTTCAGAAATGTCTATTGCAGTATATATGACAGATCCAATGGGGTGAGGTGCTGGAAGCTTCTGAATAAGTATGGGCCAAACTGCACTTGGCCAGCTGAAAGAACCACTTCTTGGCCCCTGGAATGCCATTGGTGCTGGTGCTAGACAGCTTTCTTCAGTTCCTTAGCGCTTGGACAAGACTCCCTTTAGCAGAGGTGGTGCAGCAACAGCCGGTGTCTTTGCTTTCTGGGGGAAATGACTTTGTTCCTTCACATTTGTGCTCGCTGTACATTCTTTCTTCTCTCATTTGCACTGTGCCATGCAGAGCCATTGCATGTTGTGTCTTTGCTTCTGAAGTGGGGAATGCTGTCACACAGCTCTGATTTGAGGGTAAAATTACCACTGGTTGGACACTATTGCCAGTTTTGTTGTAAATTTAGGTTGACCCAAAGCAGACCATTGTGCATCTTTGATTTGTTCCTCCCTTTTACAGTGCCAGTGGCTTACTACATGTCTTTTGTTCATGTGCTTAGCCATCCATTCTTCCTTCAACACGAATCCCTGCTACGGTTTCTGAATCAAAACCAGAAAGGGCTTTTTGATTCTTTGGAGTCTTGGAGTAAATGAGCTGGAATGGGTATAAGGAGCCAGGTGCCCTGTTTGTTTTTGTGTCGCGTCAATGTCATCTTTCCCCCTCGCCAATCCCACAAATGCTCATTTCTCTCCTCTTGCTTCCTCCCATCACTCATAACTCCTTATTTCCAGTTTCTGACTGCTTCCCACCCTGAACCTACCCCACCTCTCATGTTGTTGCTGCCTTCTCGCACTCCTGGCATCTGTTTGTTAGTATACCTTTCAGTGTACTAGCAAGCCATCTCCCATGGAGGTCCTACCCTGTACACACGGCCCTCGTGTGAGAAGAAATTCATTATCTCATATGCTTCTGCTGCCTTTTTCTGTTTTCCTGTGAACAAAAATGAACCCTTAAGTTTCTAGGAAGTTCCCTATAATGTGTGCCAAGCATAAACCTCCTCCATGATTCCTCCCTAAATTAGTTGCAGTTAATTGGCAGTATCCTCAGAACACATGCTGGAGAACAGAAAGAGGCAGGCCCATCCCTTCCTGCTGCAGAACATGGCCAGGCTGGAGCATCCTAGAAAAAGAGCTCTTTGAGAATCGGTGGACCCTATATGATCAGCTGATGAGGTTGCAGCAAAGGCCATGCAGCAAAGCTAGCCTACTCTAATGTTGTCGTCTGTGTCTTCTTACAGGAACGACGGATCTTCTCTCTGGATAGATCCAATACACGGTTAACGAAAGCCCTAGCGCAAGTGAAGGAACGCTACAGTATGCAGGCCCGGAACGGCATTGTGAGTGTTTGAGAAGAGCACAAAGGAAGGACAGCTGTATGCTCTCCGTGACTAAGGGGAAGTGATGTCAACATAAATTCCTGCCATCTTTCTTAAAACTCACCCCAAGACATTCACTCAAACTGTTTCATATTAGCAAAAGCAAGCCCTTCCCATCTAGCACTACATAGTATCTGCCTCCTGCTGTTTCTCTTTTTGTGTGTTATTTTATTGAATTTTTTTAAAAAATTAGCAATGTAATATGTAAATTTTAATGCCCCAAATGAACTAAACCCCTCTGTTGTTCTAGTTTATTAATAATCTGCTTTAAAGCAGTATTTGTTAATGTACCCTTTCTTCAGACATGTTTTTATTCCACACACAAAAAATTAATAGAGCTACCAGTTTCCTAGAACTATAGGTACAGAAGCTCAGTATGTTTGTAAATAGTAGTAAGCTTACTACTACCTCCCTGCATCATTCCTCAAGTGGTGTTACTGCTTGTTGCGCTTTCTGTTCTTTAACACTAAGAAGCTTGACGGCTGTTAAGAATTTCCCTACTAATTCTTCATGTTTCTGTTTTTGCCAAATTTGATTTTCAGTAGCAAGCCCAAGTCATCAAACTGATAAATGTAGGGTGCTTAGTAACTGTGAATTTGGATTTAGAGCATTCCCTGCCCACATTTCAGCTAATAATATGTATTAGTTCACCCACTTCAAAGTTTAATAAGCCTGGCAACCTATTATTTCTTGTAAGCTTTTGTATCTCCTTCCAACAATATCTTGTGATTTTTCACGGTCACCAAATAGGCAAGTACTAAGCCTGATTTACTTCATGCTTCCCTCATCTACCAGTGGCAAAAATATACATTTTTGTTACTTCTTGTAGCCTCATTAGTTCTGCTGGAAGAGAATCTTCTACTCGTATTTTCTGCTTTGATTGCCACAATAAGTTGTGGCCTGCTTTGCAAATGGCACTCCACTATGATCTCCTTTATTTGTAGATCCTGTTCTCATATCCAATAGTTTGAGTTCATACAAATTTTATGGAGGCTAAAAGGTAACAACTTTAAATTCAGATTCAGGTTGTTTATATCAACATTCTTTGCCCTTTTGCGCTGCAAAATCTTTTTTTAATTGATTCTCAAAAGCCTTTTCTTAATACATAAATCTTAAAATGGTTTCAGCTTAGCATTTTCCCATTTTAGTCTTCTAGCTGTAGGGGGGAAAGTATGACTTACAACACTGCTAGCAAGGAATAAGACCCCATTTATTCTCATTCACTTATATTCCCATCCATATTTATATAGGCTGTGCAAAACTTTGCTTGCCTAAACTTGAGAGAAAGGTAGCTCTCCGGATCTTTATAGGCTGTGAATCCCAGAATCCTAAGCCATGTGGCCGGTGGCAAGGGACGTTGCAAGTTGTGGTCCAGCAACAGCAACTGGAGGCACATTCCACATCCTTGGTTTCAACTGAATATTTCAATCTTGTCTTATCAGTTGATCAGCCTGGTGCTAACAGCCTGCTCCTTGGGAGAGGCAACTCTTACCCTTCAATTGCACTTTAAAGGGAAGCTCCTGTGCTGGATATGTCCATTGTATGGCAACAGCAGCAACTTAGGGGCAGCACAACAGTTATTGTCCTTTCTTCCTCACGTTCCATATTTTCCTGAAGCTCCTACAATATTTTGAGAGCCTCATGGCACCCATAAAGGGAAGAGGACCTATATATCTCAGTAAGCATCATCTCCAAGTGAGGGAGGCTTGAACTCTAGAAGTTCATGCCAATTTGTAGCTTCCTTCCAATTTTAGCCATTAGAAAGCATGGTGGGCTTCCATAAGTGCAAAGCTGTGGGCAGCTCTGTGATCATCCTGGTCACCGTTCTATGAATCTCTCCCTAAAATCACTTTGATTTATGTATAGAGGAATTTGACTTCTGTATAGAGGAATTTCTGTCCTTTTCTTAGCTAACCTCCCACAAGAGAAAGCAGATGCAGAACAAGGATATATATGTGTGTGTGTGTGCTGAGACCTTAGAGTTCTACCTGTACAATAGATCTGCTGTCTCCAGAGCCTTAATAAGAATGTTATCTTACCAGCCTTTTTTGCATTGCTAGCTTTGAATAATTTATTTCAATATGCTTTACCCTAACACAGTACCTTTTTTCCCTGCTACATACTCCTCCTGCCTGTATTATTATGCCAGTAGTACTGGACTCTTTGAGTCTTCAGGATCCACTTCTGCATTTCATTGTCTGGGTTTGTTCTAAAGAAGATTTATTTTTGTTCTGTGAATATTTTTGGACAGTTTCTTGTATATGTACAGATATAGATACATTTGAGGTCTTTTATTGATATTCCTACAAAGAATTACAAAATAAACTATTACTTTAAAAAATTGGACTCAAGCTTCTTGTCTGTATTAATAAAAATGTAGACAATAAAATAATAGTTTGGATTGGGGTGCATGCGACCGGACATATCTTTCTTACTATAGACCTCATCACACTAGAGAATGAATCCACTTTAAATCTGGTTGCTGCCTCCTGCAGAATTCTGGGATTTGTAGTTTAGGGAGGGAGCCTTTCACAGCCTCACTAAACTACAAACCCCAGAATTTTGCAGGAGGAAGAAACCAGACTTAAAGTGGATTCATTCTCTAGTGGGATGAAGTAGCCGAAAAGTTTAGTGCCATAAAACCCCAGACCATCAAGAACACCTTGGACACTTATGGCTTCCTTGACCAGGCTACACTGTGAACACTTTGTTTTCAACATCTTAAAGGTAGAGGAAAGACAGACCACGATGAGAAACACTATGTAACAAAATCTGAAATATGTTGTGTTCCTGGTTTGAAAGTGTTATTTCCTGTTTAACTGTTTGGTGCTTACTTTGAAAGTAGTTGTTATACCCCAGAAACTTCGTCTTTGTGGCTGCCACAAACTATGTTGAATTGGTTTCAACTCTGTGAGATAATCCTTGAAAAAGTAGAGCAAAATGTGATGCAGGATGTCCCGCCAAAACAAAGTTTTTGCAGTTTAATAAACTTTTTCTGTTTTTATGAAAGAACCAATTAGAAAATGGCATTTATAATTATGTAATTGTATTACATAGTGTTCAGTCTGTATTACCATTTTGATCATGAGAGAATCTATATAAATAAAAATATAATGTTCGTTTGTGGGATTAACAGAACTCAAAACCACTGGACGAATTGCTGCCAAATTTGGCCGGAAGACACCTACTAACCCAAGAAATGACCATCACTAAAAAAAATGTTTTTGTGATTTGGAAGTTGTGGTTGCTGGGATTTATAGTTCACCTACAATCAAATAGCATTCTGAACTTAACCAATGATGGAACTGAACCAAACTTGGCACAACAGGACTCCCATGATCAACAGAAAATACTAGAAGGGTTTGGTGGGCATTGACCATGAGTTTGGGAGTTGTAGTTCATTTACATCCAGAGAGCGCTGTGGACTCAAACAGCGATGGAACTGGACCAAACTTGGCACAAATATTCCATATAGCCAAATATGAATACAGATGGCGTTTGAGGGAAATAGACCTTGACATTTGGGAGTCATCATTACTGGGATTTATATTTCACCTACAATCAAAGAACATTCTGAACCCCACCAATGACAGAATTGGGCTAAACGTCCCACACAGAACCACCATGGCCAACAGAAATACTTAAGGCCATCCAGTCCAACACCCTTCACAAGGATAAGAAAACATAATCAAAGCCCTCCTGAAAAAGAGCCATCCGGTCATAGATTTAGATAGATAGATATGATTCACAAAGAGAGATATATTGTATCATAGATTTGAAAGGGATCCCTAAAGAAGGACAATGATATGTTGCCTGCTCCAGAGTAGGCAAACCAGACAATCTCCACATCAACACTGACAAAGAAACAGCAAGAAATATTGTTTACCCACAAGCATAAAGAAATTACATATATTAGAAACCAACACTTTCTCATTACTTTATTTTCCAGATCACCAGACTGGGCCACAGCATCACAGGGCAGGGGATGGCTAGTGGGAAATAAGTATCACGTTGATGTGGAATGAAGTGCAGTTGGTTGGTTGGTTTCATTATTCCCTTGGCATAGAAACCTTCAAAGCAGGATAAATTCACTCTATTCCTAACCTGGGAGACTCATCCATCATCAAATCTACTAATTGCTTGCATTTCCTGCTTATTTTAACACTGCACACTTCATGAAATCTTGTTCTTCCATCTTGCTGTAATGGAAGGGGGAAGTAGTAGGCTGGGATAAGTAGGCTTGGGGCATCATTCAAGGCAGCAGAATAGGAAATAGACTTAAATTATAAAGGAGGTCTGTGTACAGTCTGCCCCTTTTTACATAATGTGGGGAAGGTATGCCAATTGGATGCTGCCTTGGGCACAGAATATCAACTCAAGCCTGCCTAAGATACTCTCATAACTAGGGCATGACAGCCAAACAAAATCAACTCATGTTTTTCCATATGAGCTTGATTTCCAGCTTGACTTTGGATATAAAATTGCTTTCTCCTACTGGATGGTGTAAAGCACCATCTCTCAGTGCTTTACAATATCATAAAGAATAGTATATGGTACAAGGAGCAGAGATGGCTTGTTGATTCATGCAGGCAAAGCATTACCAGACTGGGTTGCTGTGAGTTTTTCAGTCTGTATAGCCATGTTCCAGTAGTGTTCCAGATGTCTGAAGATGCCAGCTACAGGTGGAACAAAACGCCAGAAGAGAATGCTACTGGAAAATGGCCATACAACCTGAAGATTCACACCAACCCAGTGATCCTGCCCATTAAAGCCTTCAACAACACATCAATACTAAACTGCCTGCCCACATTAAATTTCCAAAGGCTTTCTTGCAAAGGCATCCGTATTTTCATGTATCGGTTTCCACAACTTTATTTTCAATCTGGTGTTCTGAGAGCTCTCAAATACGATGGCAAGGAATGCCTTTTTAGTTTACTCCTAATGCTACATTGTTATTCAGACATATCCTCCCAGAGCTTAGCTTTGCATGCCCAATGTTAAATTTGCAGTTTCAGTTTTCCCTTTCTAAGCAATTCGCTCATCCTGCAGAGCAGACTCCTTGAATCCATCTCTTCCACCAATTGTTATACATATTCACGTTCCTACCACCTGGGTTCAAGGATTTTGCAATTCTCCAGAGTCCTGGAAAGTAGGTAAGAAGGGGACAATGCTGGTTTTTTCCCCTGTGGTCGGTCATTTATTAAAAGAATATATCCTATTTGACATATTTAGCATTTACATGACCCAAAGGATGGAGTCGAGATCCGACCAGCCAACTTAAACAAATAACAGCAAGAGCAATCAATCAAACCAACCGGTCAATTCGTCTCTACAAACACAAGCATTGCAATATAGATGTAAAGGGACTGAAATCTTTAAAAGGTTTGGGCAAATAAAACACTCTCCCACAAGTACTGACATGAAAGCAAATTCAAGGTACCTTTGCTTGTACGTTTTATTAATTTTTCATTGGTTCTTAATATATTTTTGAAAGAACTGTCTGAGATCAAAAGGCAAGATAGAAAATATAAATCAATGCAGCATTCATCAGAAATCATTCCCACCACCCTGCACTTTAACTTCAAATTATATCCAATTTAGCAGCAAAAGTCATGTTTGCAAAGTGTTTTTTTCTTCTTCTAGAGAAATCTGGTTCATTATTGCTGAAAGAATATAAAACAGTGATTTGAAAATACTGGCACAACCAGTGTGAAACAAGCAGGGTAGTTTTGTTTGAACTCATTAGTTCAGATAAGGCAAGAGACCAAAATGGCATGGGAAATACAATGTTGGCCAGGCTCCTTTACTCTTATGATGGTGTAAATCAGTGGTTCGCAACCTGTGGGTTCTCAGATGTTTTGGCCTTCAACTCCCAGACATCCTAACAGCTGATAAACTGGCTGGGATTTCTGGGAGTTGTAGGTGAAAACACCTGGGGACCCACAGGTTGAGAACCACTGGTGTAAATAAAACAGGTGGGACACAGAGAACAAAAAAAAACCATGGAGGAAACAAATCCTGCACATAGAAGAGATCATGTGGGGTAGAGGGTTGGTTTTAGCACTGGGAGTTCAAGGTGTGAATCTCCACTCAGTCAAATTACCTTGGGTAATTTTCACACTATATTGTCGAAGGCTTTCATGGCCGGAATCACTGGGTTGTTGTAGTTTTTTTCAGGCTATATGGCCATGTTCTAGAAGCATTCTCTCCTGACGTTTTGCCTGCATCTACGGCAAGCATCCTCAGAGGTAGTGAGGATGCTTCACCTCACTACCTCTGAGGATGCTTGCCATAGATGCAGGCGAAACATCAGGAGAGAATGCCTCTAGAACATGGCCATATAGCCTGAAAATACTACTACAACAACCCAATTTTCACACTCTCAGCCTCAGAGGAAGGTGACAAAAAACCCTCTGCGGAAATCATGCCAAGAAAACCCCACAAAAGAGTTGTGATTAGTCGAAAATGACTTAAGAGTACACAAGTGAACCATAGCATCCAACACACACTCCGCCCTCCCCTTCAAATTTATTATTCCAGAAATCCATGAAGATGAAACCTTTGGACCAAAGTAGCCATGTTGAGAATATTGGATACATCGTGGCTTAAGTGACTGTTCTGAAAATAGAGTTGAGTGAAAGCGGAAATCCAGATCAGGATTATGAAAATCTCTCTGTTTGCCTTCTAAGTATTTGAGAGTTATGAGACTTGTGACTTTTCTGCTTTCCATCAACCTTAGCCAACCAGGCCAGAATAATGGGAGCTGGAGCCCATCAACACTTCTGGAAAGCAACAGCCTCCCAATCCCCATGACTTTTGATCAGACAGAGGAAACATAAGGGCATACAGAGGAGTTTTTGACTAGCCAAAGAGCAGGTTACAAACAACTCATAGTTAAGAACGGGGGTGAGACAACAGGAAGTGAGAGAAATCTAACTCTAGGAAGGGAATTCCACTCTCATCGAAAGCGATAGATAGATAGATAGATGGATGGATGGATGGATGGATGGATGGATGGATGGATGGATGGATGGATGGATAGATGGATAGATGGATAGATGGATAAATAGATAGAATTACACTTTAAAATGTATCTGTTCTGACTTACATATAAATTCAGCTTGAGAACAAACCTACAGAACCTATCTTGGTCATAACTTGGGGACTTCCTGTATATGACAGAGAGATGGGGTGCCACCTTGTGGAAATGTAGAGAAATGCCATTTTAGCTGTTTTCTTTCAAGTTACAGTATACATTAACTTTTTTAAATGATAACACAAAATGAGGCCAAACAAAAATGCAATTTTTAGAGGAGAAAGAAGTTCCTGGTAAAATTACACATCTT